TTATATTTACACTTGTACCGTATACGTGTATTTCAAAAATTTTAGTAACAAATGTAATATTGAACATTATTTAAAATAAAACCTAATATAAAAAATATATTTAAACTATACTTCAAAAATTCAAACATTAAAATGAAAAAAATGCTATTATACAGTGGTTATTGTGCCAGTGGGCTACCAAGAAAATCTTGATGAGCCGCTCAAATTATGGGGTGGTCATGAATGTTTGAGTCGTTATTTTTTTTTATACGTTACTGAAAAATGAATAGAATCATTAGTATAACATATAATTTAAATCCATAATTAAACTGTACAGTTGGAATAGTAAGGCAGAAGTAAGTAGTAGCTAAGCGGTAGAATTAGGTATGATCGTTTCCTAGATGTTAATAAAATATTAGTTATTTATTACTCGTATTACTCTCGAAGCAATAATTGAGAAAAAAATTTAAATAAAATAACGTGTGTAATAAAGTGTACAGTTTTAACAACTCATATACTCGTATATCTTTAAATGCTCGCGCCTAAAATTCCAGCTTCTTTGTATCTTTAAACCAAAAGTATGCATGTTAACTATTGATTAATGAATAGAACAATAAAAATAGTTAAATAATAATAAATTAAATAAAATAATTAAATAATGCAATGTTACCTTTTTTTTTTCTTTTAATATTTCTTTTCGTTGTACATAAACTTTCATTAAGATTTGTATATAATTATTTGCCAAAATTATTATATTTTTTTTCTTAAATTTAGTTATATTCAAACAAACAATAATAAAAAAACAAAACAATAATTATATTTTGTTATATTTTGTATTAAGAAAATATTATTTTGAACATTTTTTTTTTTTCTATTATTTTATTATTTTATTAAATCTTAAAAATGATATTATTTTTGTTTAACATTGGAATATGTTGAATGTGATAATTGATTCCTTTCAGGGAACTTCTCAAGGTATAACCGAGAAGTTCTCAATGTGCTTCTACCACTTTCATATAACACCCTGAACATATTAAAATACTCCAGTGTACTATAAATAGAAGGAATATTTTAAAATATATTAAAAAAAAAAAAAGGGAAAAAATAAAACAACGAATTTTGTATAAATTGACAAATTTTGAAACTTACATTGTTATAATTTTTGTTTAAAAAAGTAAACAAGATTAAAATTAAACTGTCCACAATATTTATAGTATTTTCATGGCTTACTTTCCTATTTTAAGAAAAAAAATTACAACTATGTTAGTTTGAAGAGCCCTAAAAGTTTTATCCAACCTTTTTCTTATATGTGCACATTATTACAATTTTCAATTTTTTTATTTTTATTTTTTGCTTGTTACTAATTTCTTGAAGATTCCTCTTCTGAATCTGACACTAATGTCAATGATATTTTGTATAATAATCAAAGGATAAGAAAAAATTGGATTTCTAATATCAATCAAATTTGTTTTTTTTTTATAAAATTTACCACATTCCCTTAACCAAATAAAAATATAAAAACATTTACTGACGGGTTGCATTATGCAAAAAACTTTTGTAAATATTAATATATTTTTGTGATTAAATAAATACAGCTAAAAATTGTAAAAAAAAAAAAAAACATTCATTAAGTAATCTAAAAGTTAATATGATGAAAGTGGCAATCAATAAAAATGGCTAGGATTTTATAGCATTAATAAATTATTATAGATATGGGAAAATAGCATATACCCACTATGTCTTTAAGGTTTATATATTAATAAATTTAAATTATTTAAAACTCATGTTACATATTTTTAGATTTTTGAGCCCTTTTTTCTTAATTTCTAAATGATATGGCCATAGTAGATATAGCACATATAAATAATGCCATAAAAATATGAATACGTTAACATAATAAGGTCTAAAATGGAGTCAGAAAATGTATTCAGGAAATTCAGGCAATTTACTTTTGATTTTACTTATTTTAATGTGTACTTTTTTTATAATTTATTAATATAATTTATTTTCTATTTTGTGTACGCTTAATTGGTTATAAATTATAAGATTTTAATTTAAATATAACTTTACTACACACTATTAATAACTTTCATCTATGAAAAAATGAATCCTATTTTAACATATTACACATATTTAAAAAAATTAAAATAATAGTACATATAATTTACATAGATAATATATTTTAATAATTTTTATTTAAATTTAACTCTGATAATTAAAACACAATAAATTAGGTATAAAAAAGGTAAAAAAAGGTGTAAATAATACATAAATAATATTCCATCTGTTCTTTTTTGATATTCAATACAAATCTTATTCAATAACACAAATCTGTCACTGATTCACCATACATTTTTGAAATATTTTTAATACCTACTCCACTAAATATTGTATTGATATCTAGAAGTATATTATTAATAATTATTGTACTTGTATTAATGTATATAATTGAATGAAAATAACATTATGATTTGTTTCTTATTGTTTATATGTATGAAAGTTCACTAGTTATAGGTAATTTGTCGATGTTTTCCAACAAGTTTTCACTTCTTATATTTTGAATTTTTTCAATAAATGATTAAAAAGAAATTTAAATTTGATTTCCGGCATGAAATTATGTAAACATAATTTATCAAGTTGGATGAACAAATTTTCTTCAAATTGCACTGTAAACTTTTTGAACGTAACATTTATAAATTGCATTGTAGGTTTTCTCTGCCGCTTTACGATTTTATTTAAAAATAAACAACAAGTTTACCGAAAATATAGAATTTAACAAAATTGTGATCCAAATGGTTTAGGTGATATTATAATACTGATTAACTTAAAAGTAAAAATTACACCCGTAAAAACTTTTAATTTATTTCGTTTATAAATTGGCAAATTTAAATTTTTTAAATTTGATCTGATTATATTGATTATTTATACATTACTTACCTATGTTAATTATTTGGGGTTATAATGATAAATATTTATTTATAATTAATGATAGTAAGATAATTGTTACAAATGATAACAAAAATCTTGGAATAAATTAAATTTCGATTGGCTATTATACAATAATATGGGTTGAAATGATTATGTAATATACATTAATATTGTTAACTTTTTTACCAAATTAAAAAAAAATCAGAGAAAATTAATAATATATTTATTAGATTTTTATGTACCAATATTTTTTTAAAAATCCGGTTTTTTTAATATTATTTTACTATACTCATTCGCAGTACCAAAACTATTACTAATATACTAAAATAGTTAATTTTCTGAACATATTTCAACTACTAAAGTGTTTAGTAATTAGTAAATCACTCACTACTTGATTAAACTACTAAAATAGTGTAAACTAAAGCTTTAGACCAGTGATTCTTATCCTTTTTTCATTCATGTCACCTTTAGCCACTAGAATTAAACACCGCGTCACCCTAACATCAAAATAATAAATAATCTTAACTGTGTATTTTAGAATAATTCTTGAAATAACAAAAACAATAAAAACAGAAGAATAATAACAGAAGAAAACAGTAGAACACCTACAATTTATTGAGATGCATTGTTCAATAAACATTGATATTATAAAGTTTATACTTAAAATTAAAAAAAAAAAAGAGAAAATTTTTTAAAGATTTTTATACTTGTTATTTATTTTATTTGTATATAATAATACTACATATCTAACGACTGTAAAATAACTAACGACCCCGGTTAAGTCGATAAAAAAATCGATAATACATCGATTTTGCGTTAATAACAATACTGCACGTATTCATTGGATCTAAATAATATAAAGATGTAAACTTAAAGGTATGCTATTTACATGACTGTTGTGGTAATAATATGGTTTTATTAAAATTAATTTTTTTCTAATTTTTTTCCTTTTCCTGTGGAGATTTCGTGTCACCCCTACACTGTGTCCATGTCACCCTTGGGTGACATGTCACCCCGGTTGAGAACCATTGCTTTAGACTAATGACGTGATCTCACCTTGTATAATAATCGCGTAATACATTGTTGTTATACCTTGCCCTGTGGAGTTTTACTCCCCTTAAGTATAATATTATATTGCGGAAAGCATTTATACGTGTATAAATTTATACATTATTATGTTTAAATAACTCTTTTAATAAACTTTATTTTAGTTCCACGGAGACCGGAGTTTATTAACCTTGTTACCTTTTGAACGGAGCATATTTTAAATATATATTTGTATACCAGTATATTAGTTTTAATAAAGAAACCGGCACTCTTTAGTGTAAAACGATATTTTAATTTTAAACGAATGAAATAAAAATTAAAAGAATAAGGATGATACGCGCTCGAATAAAGATGTTTTGGTTTAATAATTAAACATATATACGGTGAACAATAATTACTTCGTCGTTATACACACGAGCATAATTGTGCGTGTTTTTCTCTCTTTCTCTTTCTTTCTCGCTCAATATTTTATTTATTTTTTACTTATTCCATCTCGTCACGCTTCGTCGCGTATTGTTGTTGCAGTTGTTAAATAATATCTCCAAGATTCTAAAATACATACTACGTCTAGGGCTTAAAACTACAGGGATGCTTATGATCCCTATAATATTTAAACTTTCCTTGTACTTATCCATAAAATTACTACAGTTAATATTGAATATGATTTAGTTTTTATTTATAAAACGTTATTTTTGGTACAATTCAACTACGGTCGACCGCCAACAAAACGTAATAGTCGTATGATAACAGATATAAAAAAGAATTATTTTTTTACTTTTTTAAAGTTTTATCGACTAATTTGTAATTTTTTATATGGTTGATTATTTTCACCAAACAGTTGAACTCTTCGGAAAATGTCAATGGGAAAGCTTTTAAGGTACTGTCTAGTAGGGTATGGATTCTCTCTCGGACCCCTCTTATATATCCTCACTTAAAGCCCTGAACCTACGTCTGTCCGTCGATTGCGCAATATCGGACGATAGATATTTTCATTTTCAGCGAGCGTATCAATAATACATGTGTCCCGTTGCTTTTTGTGTTCGCAGTCCATCGCGCCGTCGGCATATTCGGATTGAACAAAGTGTACACAGATCGTGCAAAACGTCAGGACACAGACGACCGCTGGCGTGGGTCGGGCCCGGTGTTCTATCGGATAATGTTTATGGGACGGCTCGCTGGGCCCCCCCACCACATTTCATGGACGAAAGACCGACCGACGGAAGGATTAACAACGGCGAGAGTGGCGGCTCTGTGGTCCGCAAGGACGAAACCAAAAGGATTCCGCCACCACCATTGCACCACTTTCAACAGCAACACCAGCAACAGCATGAGCAGCAAATGTTACGCCAACATCAACATCAACAGCAACTGCATCAGCAACAACAGCAACAACAACAATTGCAACAGCAACAGCAGCAACTACAGCAGCAGCAGCAGCAACAATTGCAACAGCATAAATATCAGCATTACCGTTATCGGCAACTAAAGCAGCAGCAGTATCCGGTAGTAGTTGCCGCGCCTTCTACCGGCAACGCCAATCCTGCACCGTCGTTTCCGTCAAAGCTCCAGCAGTCCTTGTCATCCGCATCGTCCTCGTCCGCGTCGGCCCATCCCATCGTGGCTGCAGCGCTCTATACGGAAACCGATCGGTCCGACTCGGGTCTCGGTTCGTCGCGCACGCTCAACTCGGGCGACGAACGGTCCGGTTCGCATTCGAGCGCATTCAGCGGTTCTGACGATCATGCGGCCGCCACGTCGCCGCTGAACGATCAACAGCAGCCGCCGCCATTCAACAGTTTACCCGTCTGGAGGGATCCCAACATAATACAGGTACGTTGATATCCTTCTAGTGCACACCCAAAAAGTATTAACAATTTTCTAAACCGTACATGGCTTTGGTTCAGTTGTAATCGCCAAATGCCAAGTCCTATCGGAAAACCGTAAACAGTTATGGAAAATATTTCGATTAAAACTTGTGAAAATTGTACAGATGAGTGAAGAAATTAATTCAAGTTTAATATAAAAAAAAAACAAATATTTACATTGTTAACATTGAACGAAAGGCGATTTAAATAACTTAAATTCGAGTTTAATATAAAAAAGCAAATATTTACATTATTTACATTGTTAACATTGCACGAAAGGCGATTGAAATAACTTAAAAGTCATATTCAACATCGTATTCGATTTAATGATAAGTAAACGTGATTATATATTGACCGCGAGAGTTCATCAAGAACTATTTTAATATTTTAAACAATTCCAACGAACAATGTTTATGAAAATTAAAGGGAAAAATAATTATTAATTTATTAAATTTTGTAAAGCTATTTACCATAAGAAATATTTGTGTGTGTTTTTTACTGTTTTTGGATAAAAGGTAATTCATATTTCATTAGTTGGAACTAAAATTAATTTTCTTTTTTAATATTCGATTAAATAATGTTGGAAACAATTTATAGTTTATTATCGATTATTTTGTCATATGTTTTACATATTATATAATTTATGTTTAAAACAACAACAAATAATTTCAGTTCTACTAGCAATTAAATAATATGTAGTTACATATTTTATAAAAATAAAAATTCTCTTTCAAAGTATAAAGTTCGTGTATTTTCAAAAAAGAAATTTATTTAGCTCTGTAACTATTTTATTTGAATCATAACTGATAATATACACGTTAGTAAAACATTGCAACACTATATAACTTAATGTTTCTTTTTAAAGATAATATTAATAGCCGATAACATTTAACAAAATACATATTGATTTAACTACTTAGAGATCATATTTAAAAGTTCAAATAAATTTAATTTTTCTTTATTTTTTTATGACAATATAATATAACGCAAGTATAGGTTAAGTAATTTATATATTACTATACAACATATTTTATAATACAACATACATTTTTCATAGAAATAATAAATCAATTTTTTTTTTTTTTAAATGTATTAATATTTTGTATTTAAAATTATTTTTTATATATTCATTTATACATTCCTTTTATATATTCATTTATACATTCCTTTGTCTATAATTTATAAATATATGCACATTTATTTTTAAAAGTAAATTCAATGATTAACAATTGTATTATTGTCAATACTTAAGATAATTTAAAAGGTATATCATCTTTGCAACATTGGAAAATAGCAATATTAAATATGTTTTAATAATTATTCTATTAAAATTTTTTCTCGGGTTTAAATAAATACAAGCCCTGCGAAATATTGAATTTTAATTTTCATGTTTTACTTATTTTAATATTTCGAACCGAATATGATCAACCTAATAAATACCACATTTTTTATTTGCTGCTTACGTATTTTTTTTATCTGGAATAATTTTAAATAGAATAATAACCTTTGTATAAAATAAACATTAAACACAAATAAAAGATTATATAAAATGTATACAATTTAATTAAATAGAATTATAGTATATTTTTTTTTTCATGATATAATATTTTAATTGAGTGATGACTGATGAGTCACGATGACCAAACAGTTTTTTATCTCTTTTCACCTTTGAATAATTTAAAAAATAATTTTAGTTCAAAAAACATTAGGCAGATACTAAAAAATAAACGTTAATTGAACCTATATAAATATTCAACGCTATAAATTCTTGCCGTTCTACAAATTATACTTTTTTCGTTATAACATATGCATAGGAGTGCATAGGAATGAATATAAAATGAATACGAGTTTTTTATTCAATGCAATGCTGTTTATATGTGCTTGGTTGGTTTTAGTTATTTTTTCGATCTTATCGATTATTCGAAGAGAAAAACATTAATTAATTATAAAATATAACTTTTAATTTAAGTAATTTAAATTTTATAGATTCACAAACTTAATATTTTGGTGACAGCTGTTGTGTACGTTTAATTTAGTTTTTAAAAATATTTACTGTCCAAAACCCATTTTTCAAGGAATATATATGTATTTTATTTTAAAATATTTTGAGTTAACTGGCTGTTGAATAACTCCTTATTTTTAATAATATGGAAATCCCATTTATTTCCTCAGCCACATAAGGACTTTTAGAAAGTATACTTTATAATCACTCGTAAAATGAAAATAGTATTAACAATATATGATTAAATAAATAAATATTTAATATTATAAATTATATAAATTATTAAATTTACCTAATAATATATTAATATAAATATATATAATGTAGAAGAAAAAAATTAATTATTATAAATTAAAGACTACCGTTAAATATTATTTTTATTTTTAATATTATCATTATTCATTATTATTTATAGCTAATTTTTATAATTGTTGTATAAATTCTGTAAAATTCAATTGTCCTATATGCGCGTTAATAAACTATTATTATACTATTATATAAACAAATTATAGAAAAATAAGTACTAGTTTTCGTCTTGAATGTTATTGTATTTTCAAATATGTTTTATCAGTTTCGATTTAAAAAAATCATTATCAGATGTAGAAAACTCGTTTGTTTTCATATGTATTTAATAATAATTATTAATACTATACTCTAATTAATTATTTTAATGAATAAATTTATTTATTTGTTAATATTCTTATTAAATTATTCTTTGTTATTAGTAAAGATTATATATCAGAAAGAAATATTCATATTAATTTATTTTTATTTTTAAATAAATATGAATTTATTTTACCGATAGTAATAAGGTGTTTAGTTCTTGTGTGGCATATATTGTCGACTTGCCTAACCACGGTTGTAATATTATTGTATGATTTCTAGTGGTAATAAGTAAAAAAAGAAAATAGCACGCAAAGACGATGTGTTAGAGGGCCAAATTATATTTAACCTGGGTAATTTTACGAAAAACAATTCGAATACTCTGTAGCCTAAACCAATTGACTTGAATCGTGCACGTTAATTGGTATGCTGTGTAATGGTACTTTAGAATTTTAAATCCATTTAAGGATTAACTGAGAAGTATGCAAAAGTATTAACTCGGTGATTGATCGACATTTTTATTCCTCGACAACGTATTTAAGCCACCTCTCACGTGATCACTTTCAAGCAACCTGAAATAATATATCAGCCGTTTACCTATCTTGGCGTTGATTGTGATTGTTGGAATAATACTGACGCGTTTCGTGTATGAGAGTACAACGAAATCCTAAGTAGACGGTAGATTCTTGAGCAGCTATATTAAATTTTCACTAGTAGTAGTACAACCATTCCAGATTGATTGCGACATAATATTGCGACAAATTGTTTCAATAAAGAGTTTTATGATCGTTTAAACGAAGCCATTTGCGGTGAATAAATTAACATTTTGTTTGTTAAAAGCTTATAGCTAATCACACTATTATTATTATTGTAGTGAGCTTTATTATTAAATAATGAGTGTAATTGTGTATTATTAAATAATAAGTGTCTAACTTCTGAGTTTTATAAAAATAAAATTAAAAACATGAAATTACGATTCTGTTCAAAGACAGAAGAGTAACTTAAAAAAAAAAACAGAAGTTTAATACAAAAGTTAAAAAGCAATCATAATTATACAATAGTTAAACTTAGTATAAAAAACAATTAAGCTATCAAAAATTCAAAAAAGTTTCATTAGTTCATTAGTAATGCCAATTAGTTGTATCTAAATTAAAAGTGTCTTTATTATACGAGTATACAAATAATTTAACTTAGTTTACCGATTGCTAATAGAATATATAATACCTATTTAAATAGTGATATGGTAATTTTATACGAATATATAGCGAGGGTGTAAATACTCATGTCGGCTTGAAGACACCGTATAATCAGTCATGGAGTGATAAATAATAGTAGATGCCAAGCTAATTCAAGTTATTTGTTTTAAATAATCACACTTCATTTAATGCAGTTATCAGTACATCAATGAATTTATGATATGAAATTACCTATCCTGTTTTGTAAATCACAAATTTTCTAATTTGGGTTACTTTGTTTTTCCTTCTTAGCGATATTTTAATATAGAAGTGACGGAATTTTATATCGGTGTATAATTTGTTTAAACCTATATGCGTTATACTTAGAGCTGAGTTATTCTAACTGCAATAATTGTTTTCTAGTCCATGGACGGGCCCATAAGACATGTGGACAGTGTACAACATCAGACCCTCTTCGTTTCGAACAATACACAAATGCCTCAAGTACTGTCTTTTCATCCACAGTCTGTTCTTTCGCCGTCGCCGATTCAACCGGCAATAGATGCCACGGGGATATTGTGGAAACAGTCTGGTGTTGTTAACAGCAATCCGGCGACTAATTATTACCACCGATCCAACGAACAGCTCAGACTCAATAGGTTATTCACGTGAATTCAAATATTTCGATTCTCGTAATTATTTTATTAAAAGTTTTGTTTTTAGCGGGAACGCGGAAAAAGATTATACAGAAGTTAAAAAAATGATATCGCCGTTGTACGTAAAAAGTGGTCCAATCAGTGGTGGTAAAAGATCTGCCGGTGGTCAACCTAATGAAAATTATCCCAGTGAATACGGACAAGTTGAAAGCGAACGAATAGTCAACCGTCAGCAAATATCTAATCGAGAACACAATGAAAAGCAACAAGCTGAGGCAGCTGTCCACCACCATTTCGAAGAGAGTTTTAAACTTGCGCAACAGCAAAGAGTATGCATTTTTATTTTAGTTTTACTACGTAGTTAAAACACCAAATAGTTTTTTTTTTTGTACTTAAAAATTATAAAATCATATATAATTAATAATTATTCTTTAATATTTTAAACATATATTGGTCTTGTAAATCTAAAATATATTTGAAACATTTTGAAAACAAACTCTACTCATATATGTATGTTATACCTAGCTAATATTTGTAAAAGGATCATTGCGTTTTATTTTCCTGCATCATGTGTAGAGTTTATTTTATAAAATAATGAATAAAGGAATATTGTGTTTCAGGAAATATATCCTTTAATAGTGTAATCTATACTGAATAATATGGCTAATTGAATTCAGAACAGAATACTTCCGTTACATTTTATTTTGCTTTTACTGTAGTTTATAATAATGTGAAAACATATACTTTATATCCTGTTATAAAAATTTTGGTAACAAATATGCGAGGAATAATCTTGCTAAAAATAAAAAACTACAGGAACGATGTTCAAATTCATACAAATAACAAGTGTATAATATTTTTTATATTATGGGTTTAATATATACGAGTAAATATATATACACACACACACACATACATATATATATATATATATATCAATATTTATATTATCTGAATAAATATTTATGCATGATATATTAAAACTTGTTCAAACTGTAATGAAACTTATTCAAATCCACTATTTTATATTTAAATATTATATAATAGAAAAACACACAATTTTTAATATGCGAATTTGTATTATGGCAAATTCATAAAATTAATACCTATTTAACTTTAATCCAACAATTAATTTCCCTACCGTTCATCTTATTCAATTAATATGTATCAGAACTTTATTAAGATACAGTATACAAAATCAATATGAATACACAAAGTTTGGTGATTCTGGTTAAATGATTTTAAACTAAAAGTAGAATATTATCTAATAGCTAAAGATGAATATGGAAGATAGAGAAAAAAAATACTTAAAAATATTATACTTTATGTTTGTATATAATTTTATATATTAACTATTTAAATATTTATTTTATCAGAGAACTAATTGGATATCGAATTTACCAACCCTTCCAAAAAATGTATACCCAAGTCAAGGGCATAACATTGAAGACGCGTCACAACATAGACCCTCTTCACTCTCAACAACCAATAATCGAGGAGAAGAATGGAAAGAAAAGAAGAATCTGTCATATGATCCTGTTAGATTGACACAAATCGAACAATTATCTACTAGACCATCTTTGTCTGTGAGTATTATTATAGATGTCATAATTGTAGTTAATTTTGAAATTTCGTTATTAGTTTGTTTGATAAAGTCATTTTAACAAAAAGTTATTAATTGATTAACATTTAATTTAATCAAATAAAATATTAAAAATAAACTATAAATCCAAATAAAAATTTAGTAGAACTCACTGATAAATTAGCTACTTACAATGTATTTGTAATATTCATCAAAACTGTGTTTGCTTTATAGTTTTAAAAAAATATATGTATAATTTTCTATAATTTTATTAAAATGTATGTATAGTTGAAAAATATAATGTAAAGGATACAAAAAAATTATTTAGTATGTACAAGTTTAATATTCACTATATTATGAGTACAAATAACATTGATAAGTTAAAGTTAATAGATACTTCCATGATAGAAACTTTCAACATTGTTAAAGATATTGAAGGTTTATAACTTTATACATTTTACTGCTCACTGTTATTAAACCTTTTTGACATAATAATTTCTAAAAAACACTTATTTAAATTTTTTTAAATGTAAAGAATTCTAATAAATAAAAACGTAGCATTCTCGTTTTTTGAAATTTTTCCTAAAATTGGTGGAAAATTACCTAGAAATTAAACATTTTTTAGCAATTTTTTCGTTTATATTACATCAGTTTTAAAGCACTTTTAATGTCTTAAAAAAATGTAAAAAATGTAAATGCCCGGTACATTATAATACACAATTTCAATCGTAATAAAATCTAAAAGACAAAAATAAATTAAATTGTTCGACATTGAGTTATTTTTAGAACGAAATTTGATATGAACTCTTACACCTACTAGTTATTAAAATACATTTAAATTCCTGATGGTAGAAAAATTCAACAAATATAGTTTCAGACCATATTAGTATGTTGAATAATATAATATTGACACCCTTGAAGTAGTGAAATATCGTTTATAAATAAACTTTGGATAATATTAAAGTATTAATATATTTGATACCGACGTTTTTTACTTTTATTAATACATTATATAAATAATTAGTTAAGATCATTTTATTCCCCAGTTAAAAAAATTATAATATATATTTGTTACTTAAATCGTTTATTTATTATATTATTTACACGTTTTTAAATTAAAATTCATGTTTTCAAAATTATTAGAAGTAATAATTGCAATAATATTAAATTCATAAATTAATATTAATATATTTTATAAATGTGTTTTTATTACTTTAAAACTTCATTGTGCCCTTTTCATAGTATTATTTTCTTATCGTTCAAATAAGTCTGTATCAATAAAATTGTGTATTTGAGCAATTGCTACAGTCATTTTTAATATTTAACAAAGGAATATTTTTGAAAACATTTTAATGGGCAACAAGTGTTTCTTAACACGCTTTACATGCAGTATTAACAATATAGTACCTATACAATGTAAATGGGTCATTCAAAATGTTTTAGTTTTATCCAACTCTATCCATACATATAATTAAAGAAATTATTAATATATTTCAATTAAATTATTGTTAGATTGATAAAAAAAATAATTATTATTTTAGTTTCAAGATAACTATAAAGCCCACACCGTTCCTACAGTAAATTACAATCGTGAAAATATATCAGTGAATGCCAACGAAGGTGATAACTATAACAGTATGATCTCATATACTCCATACATGAATTCAAGTCAGGGCTATGTGGCTTCCGCTTCATCAGTTATAGTCAGAAATGAGTCATCTTATAAAAACCCATCGAAACAAGCACCACTAACAGGTTATGTTAACAATCGTGCTCCTACTATTCTCTCAGTTCCCGCTATCAAGTTAGATTATAATATAGAACCAATAGAAGCGGAGCCTATGCATTATTCCAGGCCTTCAGCAAACACTAGTCAATCAAAAGATCATGACGTTGCTCAAGAAATACATCATCCAGGTCCGTTGTTAAATACGCATGGTCGATATGCATTTTATCCTCCTCTAACTTCAGCTCAAAAAGATGAAAATAAACCTCCTCCGGCTCATTTAAATACAGTGACGACTAGTGTTCTTTCGGAATTTGTACCTGTAGCAGTACCAGTCGATGATCTCCAAACGGAACCCTTAGATCTAGTTGTGACGTATAATACTCGATCGCTCAAATCAGATACACTTAAAACTGAAGTTCCTTTACAATTATTAAATTATAGCAACAGCCGTACCATACGAGGTCCTCAAAGTACCACAAGCAAATATGATATAAATTCTAGTATAAAAACTAAAAATTTGAAGGTTTTAGAAATTTCTCTACCTGACCATATTATAAGTACATCACCAAACGCACTAATAAGCACTCCAACGACAAAATCGACAATTCTATCGACAGCTCTCTCGTCGACTAATTCAGTTGTTATTTCATCTACAATTACAGAAGCTATTCCATGTATCAATATAATAACCAATTCATCTGCTAACACAATGACTATCTCAACTTCCATTCCGTCTATCGTTCCAGTGGTTAACGTAACAACTATCACAACTTCCATAACTTCTTCTATTCCATTGGCTAACCACACAGTTAGTCCAATAATTATTACGAAGACTGTCTCGTCCAATATTTCAACAGATATTCCCACAATTACCTCTGCAGGTATTCCAACTATAATATCAAAAACCAAGCCAGTTTTGTCCGTGGTCTCGACAACAGCATCATCGGCTGTCTCAACGACAAATTTATCAACACACGATTCTTCTCCGTCTACTCCTCCGCCAGTCCTTATGCCCGCTATTTATACAGAGATGAATTCAAAACCTCATCATCACAAATTAAAAAAAGCATGGCTACAACGGCATGTATGGACTGAAGATTTGAAAGAAGCAGGCGTTAATATTGACCAAAATCCATCAAACTCGTTTTCGGAAATTGATGATACCCCACCTGTATTAGAATGTGAAATTGTGAAAAAAAGAAAAAAATCAAAAAGTGCATCAGAAAATAATGTTACTGTAGAAGAAATGTCAGTAGAAATGTCTCCATATGAGTCGGATATAGAACAACAATCATTGACCAATGGAACCAAAAAGTTTAAAAAACGAAAAAATTCTAATTCAAATATACTTTCAGAAAATACAACGGAAAGTGACAAGGATTCAGATTTTGTAAAAGAAAAGAAAGTTCCACCAATTAAAATTCCAAAAAAAAGAGGTAGAAAACCAAAAGTGGTAGTAAGTATTCCTTTAAAAAAAGGTAAAAATGACGACGATGAAGAAGTACGTTTTTTTCAATCCGGCCCATGTTTAAATGTCGGTCCTAAAATTCACAAATGCAGAGAGTGTCGTATATTTTTAACCAAAAAAAAGAAAGATCTTACGACGCAAGATGAAGTTGATAATATATTTTGTCGATTCTATGCATTTCGGCGTTTATTCACTAACAAAAATGGACAGTTAATGGATGCTGGATTTCCTGACCCTTTCAAAGATGTAACAGTGGTAAGTACAAAATTAAATATAAATCCAAGATAAAAGCTTATAGTAAATTAATAAATAATATTCATATTAGGATGATCTTAATCTTTGGATGCCTAACTCAAAATTTCCACCAAGTACGTTGGATATCGAGATCGCGAAAAAAGTATTGATTGAAGCCGGTCGTCAATTTTGTTATTTAGTGAAAGAAGAAAATAAGGCTCTACATTTATCTCCATTTTTTCGGAGGTACCTTAATCGTGCAAAAATTGCAAAGCAAAAATTATTATTTCTTTACTTTAATAGATAAACCTATTGCGTGGAAAAAAGCTGCTAATGGTGTAAGAGAAATGTGTGATGTTTGTCTTACAACTATTTTTAATTATCACTGGGCTTGTGCAAAATGCGGTTTTGGAGTTTGCATTGACTGTGTCAAAGTAAGTTTTTTTTCTGATAACTATGCTCTTGTATACATAATCATTAGATTAAAAAGTCAAGCATGTTGATATTTACAATTTATTTATTATTTTGGTTAATTGATTTTGTTTCCTTATTGAAATTATGAGTTGAATAACAAATATACTTTTCGAATTTTTTGATATTGTTTAAATTTAATTTTGTAAAAACAGCTGTTTTATACTAGCAGAGTACTAAAAGTAATAAATCTAAACGATTGAATATAAATATATTTTTAAGAAAATTCGTTTTTTGTTGAATGTTGAAAATGCAATTTATGTAAATTGAAACATATACAAGTATGTATAATACTTGTATTTTTAATTTAAACATTGTGTACATTTACCTTTTTCATTTGTGTATCAACCATAAAGTATAAGTACTCAAGTTCAAATTCATAAAATAATTAATTAATACTTTTATTCTCCTTGTATTTAATACTATTATTTTAGATAAACAGATAAGCACGTAATTCAATATTGTAAAATAATATAGTTGTTATTATAAAACTGTTTTTTTTTTTTACAAAGTTATCATTTTTAATTTTCTTGGTATCTCTTGTAAAATACATTATACAACTGAACATTGATTTTAAACAATTTATAATTATTATTAATATTATTAAATATTTAAAAATTAAATTAAATACTTTATTAATGAAGAAAAATGAGTAGTTAGTTACTAATAGTTTTTATTGTAATACGATCTATTTTGTTTTTTCTATTTTAGGTAATATTAAATGATTTCAATCAGTCTATTTATATAACATTATGTTACCAATAACTATCAAATTTTAAATGTTGCTATGTTTTGAAAACAGAAATTTATAGGTTTAAATTTATGTTTGTACAACATTAAATATTTACTCGAGAATATTATGTTTGTCTATCAGGCACGACTCAATGGCACAGCGGAGTCACCAAATGCAGCGAAAATGACTAAAAAGGATTTACGTGAAAAGGACACGTTTATGTGGATGACTTGTAACAGTAAGCACAACCACGATGTCGAACGACTTATGTTAACACAAATCGTGGCCGGTGACTCAATGAACATTGTCTTCTCTAATTTGCACGATGTCTGTAAACAGTGGAACATTGAGATTGAATGTGGTTGCCCGGGCCATCCATTTCCTTCGTCAATGGTAAATAATTTTATTTAAAACAGATATATTTTGGTGTTTACAAAACTATGAATATTATGTTTCATTTAGTTAATTATTTAGTTTGTAAGTCCAATTACGGACCATTGTGCTTATCCGCACACTAGTGGGTGCGCGTGACTATTTATTGGCAATATTTTGGTTAAGATAGGTAATTAAGTACCTTACTCTCTTGATGAATTTTTATTGTTTTATAAGGTAATACTGTAATAATCGTATAATTATTCTGCCGATGACTTGGATAAATGTTTAATAAATAGTAATAGTGCTTCTTAAAAGTATCCAGTGTGCACTTTCTTAAGGGTTTTTAATAATATTTATTATGACATTAGTTAAAATGAAATAAAACTTATGACATTAAATCATTGTGGTTTACTTAGAATATAATTTTTAATTTCGCTAAATTGATTTGTAACTTCTATCTCAAAATCAGTAGAATATGTGATAGTTAAATATGTATGTATAAAATATTAAGTATTACATAAATATTAAATAACTCTTGACTTGATATATAACATATTATAGGGTTTTACATTTGCTCACTAAATTTTCAGATATCATAAAATAAATTGTTTCATTTCAAATCATTCTATATAATTTAGTACCAATATTACGCTACGTATTATTAGTTTGTTTATTATTATATTTATTTATTTTATTAAGTCATGTATAAAATATAATAATAATAATAATAATAATAATAATAAAAAAATGGTCAACGTTTTTACATTGAATAAAAGTAAAAAATTATTTTAGGTACACACCTTAAATCTTTAGAAAATTTTAACTATACATATTTTAATGAATTTAATGAGTAGGTTTTATTAAGTCTTATATATATACACAATAAATATTGTATTTAAATACAATTAATATTGCTATTATAGCAATTAAAAAACCATGTTTTTAGAATTCTTAATACTATTTTGAGAAGTCTGTATTTTTGAATAAATCAAAAAAATTAATTATATTTTAAATTTTAAATCATTTATACTAAGTGAAGCTAAATTTTCTAATTTAATTTAACTAACATAGTTTCAATAATTGTTTAATGTTATTGAAACTTTTTGAAAATGTCGGTCGTATAATAATTTTTATTCAAACTCAAAGTATTCATTATAAGAAAATAATTTAAAAATAAGCTGAAAATATGATACTACCAAAAACCTAAAAAAAAAAAATTCCTTTTGTCAATGAAAGATTAAAATAATATGCATTTTAATAAATACATTTTATATTTTTGGTTCAAAGATTTCATATGGTCGAATAAATTTTTTTTTTAGTAAATGTTTTAATTACATTGTCCTGAATCAATTACATAAACTAACCTATTTTAAATTTGTATTTCTTTAAAGACATCGAAATTAAAAAAAATATTGTTAGAATTATATAAAATAATAAATTTTTGTTTTGTTTACCAAATTAACACTAGTATAATGTATTAAATATGTGCTTGAAAGACAATAATTGCAATAATTATTCAAACAAGTAATATATGAAAAAAATAATATATAATCTATTATTTAAAAAATAAATAATAGTCTATTATTTTAAATTATTTAATATATGAAACCAAGTTAGGAAAAAAGAATGGCATACAACCACCAAAAAATATGAAACATGTATTAAAATTCTAGTCCTAGTTATAAATTAACATAATATGTAGGTAATAAGAATGTGACTGTATTATTATTATAGTTCTCATTCTTATTACATTTTTATGTGCCTACTTGTGCACAATGTTTATGTGAATATGTCATATTCTAACATTTTGTAGTTTTATTTCAATATATAACTATTAATTATTATTGCATCTATTATAATCTGTTGTACGAGTCGTATGTTGTATGTCCTTTACGCTGCCCCCTCCTCCCATCCAAAAATTTATGATTTTTTTTTATATTTATTATTAGTACGAAATTTGTATAATTTATACAATAATTTTCAGAACATGTATGGAACTTGTTAACCAAGAAAAATTCATTTTTTGCGGTAGGGGTTAAACATGTAATAAATATACATAAATCGAATTTTTGTTTGCATTTTAACTGAAAAAATAATAATCTCAAAGACTTGAAATTTTCAATAAATGCTATATCTTCGTTTGTTATAGATTGTATAATCTTAAAATATTTTTTGAACTATTTATAGAAAATTTAAAATTTCATGTTTTCTTTCTTTTCTTAAAAATATTGAAAAAATAATTTTGGTTGAACAAGAAGTGTTAAAAATGTAATACAAAGTTTTTTCATACATTTAGATTTTTGATTAATGCAAATAAATTGAGTTTCACACAAGTATTACCCAAATATACGAGCGTTAGATAATTACATTTTGACAAAATTATTAAAATCAAAAAAAATCCACTTTCATTTTGTAGATTAAAATTTACAAAACTTGTATCCAATTTTCCAGGTTTAAGTGTAAAAGTTATGATCAAATTTAAAATTGGTTACAAGATTTTTCATAATATAATCTTTGAAGTAAATAAAAAAAATTACAGAAAATCACAAAACTATTTTATATCATCGTTACAAAATGAAATTTTAATAAATTCAGATTTTTAAACGAATTTTCATTAAACAATATTAGTTATTTAGTTAAAGATATTTTATATTCTAGAAATATTTTTATAACATTTTCACTGTTAAACTTCCTTTTCTTTTTTTTTTTTTTTTTTTTACTGTTTTTCTTTTCTTCTGATCACTTAACATTTTTGGTTTTTCAAAATTTAGATGCCTTATTTTTTGTAAAATTAAAAACATAAAAGTTCAACCTCTACCTTATTTAGAAATTTGGTTCTACTGCTATTTTAACTATCTTTAGAAATAATCCATCGGACCTTTTTCATAATGGTTTTTTTTAAGAGCAACGGTATATTGGTTTCATATTTAAAAGACCAATATAGATTTATCATTCATCTGTTCACCTATCTCACTAGACCGTGGAGTCTCACCCGTTTTTTAATTTATTTTTTGTAGAATGATTCTAGCTCTGACGAGGATGATGAGAAGAACGAGGTTCCTTTTGAAAAACAAGAAAAAATTCCAAAGCCTGAGAGCAGTCCCAAAAGTAATGTAGCCGAAAGCTCCAAAATCAGCCCCCCTCAAAATGCTAATATAATTGAACCACAAGTGGCTGGGGTAAGATAGACGCTCATAAAAAAAAAAAAAAAAATCATATTATCCAACCTATTAACGATCGATTTTTATTTGTACTTCACAGTGTTCAAAAAGTAGACGAGTAAGCGTTCAATCAAATTCATCTTCGAAAATAGATAAATTGAAACATTTTGTCAGAAAAAAAAGTAAATATCTGAAAAGAATTCCACGTGAGCCTTTACCTCCACGCGTTATGACATTAGCGGAAAGCCGACAATTTTTTCCGGACAACCCCCATTTATGGCTGTGTGATGGAAAGCTGTTAAGACTTTTAGATCCTGAGGATCCTACAAACAGTGATCTATTTCGGGTAAATCCTAATTCAAATATTTTTTTAGATTTAATAAAATCGTAGTTACGCCGTTCTATTTTATTTATCTGCATTAAATCAAATATATTATGTCCCAAATAAATATAACAAATATAGCTGATGACCATAATATGTTTAATGCTGATCGTATATTTACAGGAACAGTGGAAAAGAGGTCAACCGGTGATGATTAGTGACGTAGGTAAAAATTTAAATCCACATCTGTGGAGTCCGAGTTCGTTTTGTCGTGACTTTGGTAATTTTACTAATGATTTGATCGACTGCATGACCGGTATGCTGGTAGAAGGCAAATCGATGAAACAGTTTTGGGACGGTTTCGAAGACGAAAGCAAAAGAATAACGGACTCTAATGGTAGAAAGATGTTGTTGAAACTAAAAGACTGGCCGGTGGCAGCCGATTTTTCAGAAACATTACCAGAAAGGTTACAGTTTATAAATACAATTGTTATCATTATTATTTTATTACTAATCGCGTTTATTTCATTAGATTCAACGATTTAATGACAGCATTACCGTTGAAAGAGTATACACAACGCGACGGAAAATTAAATTTGGCGTCCAGATTACCAATGTGCTTTGTACGACCAGATCTCGGACCAAAAATGTACTCTGCTTACGGGAATGCTGGAAGACATAGCCTAGGTAAACAATCGTTGAGCACAACCAATCTACACTTAGATGTATCGGATGCTGTTAATGTAATGGTATTCGTGGCTCCCACGCAAAAGGGTGACGATGAAATCAATTCCGAAGACGATCCGGATAACGATTGGCAAACAAAGGGTTAGTAAACACTTATATTACTAGTAAACAAAAATATATGTATGACAATTCTATAAAAAATATGCACTTGAAATAGTAAAGAAGGCTGATTATTTGTTTACAAATCACTTTGATATTTTTTTATTTTGATATTTTCTATCCTATCTTAATTCAACGACGTTCCATTATATCAATTATAATAGTTTAATATACCGTTAAAAAAAAACCACTCTAAAATTGTATGAAATGTGTTATTCACAATTGTTTATAAATCTAAAGAACTTTGGTTAAAAATAAATATCATCAAAAAAGTACTATTAGAATATAATAGCGCAGAAAAAAAACTTTCTGGTTGATAATAACCGTTTAATAATGACACGGTCTTAATACTTAATTTGGTTTGATTTTCAGAAGCGTATCGCGCGGTCGATGAGGCCGGTTGTGATATGGCTAGCAGAAGACGAGCCCGCGAACCGAAAGAGTTCCCCGGTGCGGTGTGGCATATTTATCACGCTAAGGACGCAGATTCCATACGAGATTTGCTAAATAAGGTGAGCGCCGAGCGTGGTGAACCACTGGAACCCAATCACGACCCCATACACGATCAGTCTTCATACTTGGATGCAGATCTCAGGGCGAGACTGTACAACGAATACGGTGTCGAAGGTTATGCGATCCTACAGTGTCTGGGCGATGCTATATTCATTCCGGCCGGAGCGCCGCACCAGGTACGCTAAATGATGGCTTAATCATGCTTATTATATATGTATTTTTAATAAGCAATAATATTTTAAAAATTATTATTTTAACATTGATAACTGAAAAATAACGCGTCCAGTGTCGCGAACTAATATACGGCTCATCTTCTCGAATACGTATCGTACACATATTAAGGCCCCTAAATCGTATGTACTACTACAACGCACTTTGTGTAGTACAAAAAGTAAAGTGTTAAGTAAACTGTAAAGTTATAAAATATTATTAATTAAAGTCATAGAAACAAAAAATCGATTTATACTAAAAACTGAAAAACCACGTAATTCCTATGATACATTTGAATACATTTGCAGAAGGTACAAACTGACTGCAGGGTACGATATAGGTTACTAACAATTATTTAATATGTAGTGTGCAGCACGAAAACATTTTAGGTTCTGGTACATACAAACGAGTATTAAATGTATTACCCGTATACGTATAAATGATAACGATTAACACAAAAGGTGAATGTTTTTCGTTGTCCACAGGTGAGAAATTTACACAACTGTATCAAGGTGGCGGAGGACTTTGTGTCGCCTGAGAACGTGTCTCAGTGTTTCCGGTTGATGAACGAGTTCCGTGATCTGTCCAGTAGCCATAGCAATCACGAAGATAAACTTCAGATCAAGAACATAATGTACCACTCGGTTAAAGACTCGCTTTCGGTGTTGTTACACGCAGGTCTAGAAAACCCTGCAGAATAGGGCTAATTGATTTCTGTTCATGGTAATTTATTATTATTTTTAATTACTTTCGTTGTTGTTTTCGTACATGCTAATCTGTACATAATTTACAAACAATTATTATATATCAATCCTTCTTATTACTATTTTGTAATAATATATGTCAGTAAAAGGACAACTTTATTATTTGCATATATATTAAATTACTTTAATGTTGTAACAATTAAATATCATAACTTTGATTTCGGTGCTCATGCAAGCACAAAAATAAATTTTTTCTTGAACATGTACAATAATTTATTTATTAATTATTATTTATATTGTTTTTTTGATGAAAATATAACTTCTTGTATCTTTTTCTAGAATGTATAGCAATTATTATTATTATTACTATTACTATTATTTTACTATATCCCTAAAAATCGAAATTGTAATAATTTTTTCTAATTAAAATATTATGTTATTTGAACAATTTAAAAAAAACAAATAAGAGACTAAAATTTACATATACAAGACATTTTGACTTTGATAATATATTATTTTCATTTTATGTTCGTTATTATTTATTTATTTTATTATTTTATATATCATATATTTTGCAGCCATAGACAATTGCATGCCATAACAATATTTTTACAATTGTAACGTCATACCTCGTTTTTAGACCTACCTACGTTTTTAGTTGCTACCTTGATGTTATTGTCATTTATCATCATTCCTTAAATATTATTAAAAATATCCTTTTCAAATGTCATTCCTATTAAAATTAAAGTAATACGTGCTATATATTATATTTAAATTTATTTGCTACTACTACTATTATTATTACTTTTATTATTATTATTAAAATTATTATTATTAAAATTATTATTATTATTATTATTATTATTGTTATTATTATTATAAACCAATTATCTGTTTATGACTATAAACTAGTACTAAACTAGTACTGAAATAATATTTTCATTTTCATTTGCTTACAGTGTTCAACAACTTTAGAACAATTTAAATTATTCAATCCAACTACTAATCTTATTATTTGAACACCCTTTTCTTTCTGATACACACACACCTAATGTATAAAATACGCCTATTGCATCGTGTTCACTTATAATTTTGTATATATAACAGTTTAGTTTGCATAATCATCTATTAGTTTTATTTGTAGTTTTATTGTGACTTAAGATAACTTAAGTACACCTAGATACTTGTAAACCCGACCTACGTATTTATTTCACATCTTAATTGTTATTGAAATAAATATAAATATTGTAATGAGCCAAACGTAATAACAATGTCATCAAGTGTTTCATCTCATAACACCGTTTGTGTATGAAATACTGTTCGCTTTATCCTATTCAATGTCATTTTAAACTACTGAAAAATACTGTCATTATATTTAACGATCTAGTGCGAGGGTGAATTGTGCCGTTATAATTAACAATAATTATAATTTTCGTAGTCGCTTATGTGTAGTATAATCTGCGTAATCATATAATTGGTACATCACACCGGTTTTTGACGGATTTATGTGTTATCCCTGCGTAATATTAATGAAATAAATATAATAAACGTAACTCGTATCACTGAAAATTTTGTTTCGTAAACGTAATAGTTTATAGTGTTTATAAAATGTATGAAGTTTTCTAGAAACCGTAGCTCCCGAAATAAGTTATTTTTGGAATTAATGTACTTTTGGACGGGATCGTTGGTATTTTGCACCAAATATCGCAGATATCGTTTGAATAACTTGTACAACTCATGTATGCGATAACAGCTAAACACTCGTGTAGTTGAAGTCGATACGTGTGGAGTTACTTATAGATATACCAGGTCGAAATAAGTCCAGTGTTTTGAGAATTTCTCTTAAATAAAATCACTATTATTACGAATATTTTCACGGTTATAACTAACATTTCCATGATTGTAAAGTTAATATGATTGATTCGTTTACATCAGTATATGTTTTGAATACATATCATTGCATATACAATTGTCTGCTTATGTATGACAATCATTAAATGACCACGGTCATTGATCAATTGGGTTTTGTTATTTATGACTCGGTCATTTCGCTATTTTCAATATTAATCGATCGGATAAACGTTTCGCGCGATCATATCCTACTTTTCGGTCTTATTCGGTGGAGATATATTCGGATTGGCCATTATAACGGTGGTATCGTAGTAAAATGTATTTCCAATAAGACCAATGATTTCACCATCATATATTTTATCGCGCGACAACGAGAAAATTGATACAATAAGGCCATGTCGGCCGATTATTCACGAGCTTTTTCCACCTACAAATAACTTGGTTCGGACGAATATCTAAACCACAACCCAACGTTATAGTAATTAATAACATTAATAATAATAATGATCAGCTCAATGTACTTGTTGTCAACCGCACGGGCAACAAACATGTCACCGCGATCATCTCCGCGCGATCGCAATCGATTTTTACTAAATTTACGATTCGCAATGAATCATTGATATTGTGTGTGTTAATGATATTATATTTCCTCCGATAATTCTTCCTTCCCTTCCCATTCGTGTATAATTAAAACGTGTACCCATGTGAATGATAAAAATTGTTATAGTATGTTATCATGTTTTGCAAATATGTTGAGAATGTTACAGACAACGAAAAAAATTATGCTTTATAAAAACTTGGTTTAGATCGTTTTATATCTCCCTTATTTAAGACTAATTTATTAAATTCGTATGTAGTTTTTTTTTAATTTTTTTTTTTATTGTATTATAGTACTTATCATCCTGATTATTTTATCGATCAGAAATTACCGACTAAGTGTAGCAATCGGAAAAACTTTTTTTTTCTTTCAACGACCTCGTGTTTCATATGTGGATGTTTATTTGTGCCCTCTAAACATTATATTATATTATACTTAGGATATTGTTACTGGACTAACTGTGAGTTGTGAAGAATCGCGTGTGTTGATTTTTTTTCGTCGTGACGATAATATAACTATTATTGTATCCAATTGTTTTTGAACTCATTCGCCGACAGGTGTATACACATTTATGTTAACGCGCGAAATGTTATATTATTGTCTTGTTAAGGCGTTTTATTATTGTACTAATGGATGAAATTGATAATATTATTATAAATTAAGTGTTCTGGTTTTATTTTCTGTCATTAACGATGGTACATATACTCAATTATTGTATGTTCTTTTTTAAATCTATTCTAGCGGCTTGTTGTACAGCCGCTAACAGTTTTACACAGTATAAAATATTATTATAGTAGTATTAAAGCATTTTATCAACGTAACATTCGATGTAGTTGATAATACATATTATATTATTATTATTATTATTATTATTATTAATATTATTATTATTATATTACATACTATATAAAATATACATTTGAAAAATAATATCTTACTTATAATAGTTGTATTATATACTCAAAATAATATGTATAAATTCGTACCTATATTCATTTAGGTATAGCGCCAATTCCTTGTTGTTGTAGTAAATAATTGTTCGTAAAAATATGAAAACACGGTTTTCTATTTTCTCTCGCGATTTCTGGTTATAAATTCCGGTTATCAGACGACCGGAGATCACGCGAAGATGGATCTAATGCATTTGATACTTGTGCTACGGGTGGAAACTTTGCAGTGGCAATGAAATTGTTCGCAATTTTGTTTTGAGGTAGGTACAATTGAATGGCTTGATGGAATAATCAAGTAATTCCGTTTTTTTTTTTTCAAAATTGAGGTTTTAATATATTCTGATGAAGAAAAAAACAGGCCGCCTTTTCTGTGTTACAACCAAGTAGATCCGATTATTATTTCGCACGGTGTAATTAAATATGAACTACCTTGTTTTTGCATGGAACTTGATCATACCGGATAATATTATTATTATCAGCGATACCACACATGATACATGTATTTTTTTCTGTTGTTTCCGCGTTATAATTCATTATAATTCATAATGTGCGAAGTGTAATTTTAATGCTACAGTGATAGTGTATTGTTATAATATGCAAAGTTACATCATTTCATTTTATTTTTTTAATAAAACTACACGCATACTTTTATTTTCTGATTAGTTAACATTTAAAGGTACTATTTAAATACTTCTTAAATGTAATTTTTCCGAATATAAAGTAAAAATAAAGACTTTGTTTTCATATTTATTTGTATCGGATGAACTCATGGTTTAAACATTTAAATTACATATCAATATTAATTTTTCTCCAGGTTTCAGTTTCGGGTGAAAACCGGGTTTCGGTTTTCGATTCGTATCCGGGACCAAATTTTTGCCAGATACCCCGGGTTCCAAAACCGAGTTATATCCTGTTTTGACTCCATGATTTAAACAATATACGTAAGTAGTTATTTTATCTTAGTACCAAATAATTGTTATACAGTTTAATCGCTTTACAATACATTTATTTTCATCATCTTTTTCTTAAACATTTTCCACTACGAGTGGCCAAAATACCAAAAAAAATATATAGCTCTTTTTTAAAATTTAAATAAAGAACCAGCTATTTTAGATTTATGGAATTCATTAATTTCAATGCAATCATCAGTTTCTTCACAAAATACTCATTTTAATAGCGTTAATTTTAATCTCGGCAATTTGGAAAACAATGTTAGTTCTATGCGGACTGCACAATGAGATATCTCAATTGAAATCCGATACAATAACTCTAGAATTATAGGTAATTCTACTTCGTCAAAAGTTAAACAGCTTAGAAAGTTCTCCCAAGATGCAATATCAGTCAAACGATTTTGAAATTTTTAACGAAATAAAAATTGGACTTTCACGAGAAAAGAGTATTATTTTATGTAACTTACCTGATTCCGATCATAAAATCGTTTGTATTTATCTACTAAATAAATGTATCCTTATAAAATATAAAAATTACTCATAGTAAACGATTGGATAACTGTTATAAAAATAATTATAATCTCCATCAAATGTTTTCAAAATTCTAAAATCTAAAAATAAATTGCGTTCAACAGAACGTTAGCGTCAAGTTTTAATCTCAGAAGATAGAACAACATCTCAACGAGCTCTTATGCGACAACTAAGATCTGAACTGTCAAGAAAAAGAAATCACGAAGGAAAAACTGGATTATCAAATACAACAAAGGTCTTGCACAAAAAATCTATTCATCGCCAAAAGGGTTTAATTAATAAAACTATTTGTTTTAGAACAGTGACGCCCAACTTTTCTTTTGCGGTTTTTGGTAAACAATTATCTTCAAGCGGGCCACCAAATATAAAAGTAGGTACGAATAATATCATTATTAATTCAATAATATAATTTTGTTGCACAAATTTGGTATGCAATGTACATGTAGGTAGATATTGCAATTGTTTTCATAATTGACTGTTGAAAATGCCCGAAAATAAGATTAATAAATTAATAAAAAAAATCGCACTTTATAATTATTTTATTTCTCAATATTTTGCTTTATTTTAGAATTTGTAATGGACCTTGTGTTGGGCACCACTACTCAATAAATAAGATTAATTATAATCGATAAACTTCAATTAATGATGCTCATATTAATAATTTAAATTGTAAAAATCCAAAACTATTGTGTAGGTTTTATCAAAATGTACGTTAAGAAGTAAATTATCCTCTGTCGTCACGTGTTCATGCCTAATTTACATCACTTCGATTACATTATTTATAGGGCTGATTGTAACAATAATAATAGTACTCACTTTTTTTATAAATAATTTAAACAATCTTTTGAAAATTATACCATTTATAACAAGCGATAATGCAAGCATGCAGTGAAAATTTCAAGTCTCTGAGATTATTATTTTTTGAGTTCTGCTAAAAATAGAAAATTTGATTTTGTCGAAAACCAGTATACCTAAAGTTTTACTGTTTTAATTACTAATGTTAGTAAGTTTTTCGCAATTATTTAGAAAACTGTTGTTCCAAACAATGCTTATTATTTTTTTATGTCCTATAGGGTACTACTCGTGCGCGCACATAGATTTATAGCTATTAATCTGTATGAGTAAAATTCTCAAGTGTTTATAAATTTTAATGTAAAATAGTAAGTACATAATATTATATAATTACATGATATATGAACAATAAATTGTACAAAAACAATTAATATTTTAACATCAATAAGAAATAACTAAAAAAATATTGGTAATTGTATATTTACATGAGACGATCAACTCGTATTTAACCGGTTTAATTTTACAAAAAACAATCTGTAGCCTAAAATCATGAACCAACTAATTTGAAATTTACGGAGGTTGATAAGAATGGTATATCAATGAAAATTTAAAATTGTTTAAAGTTATCGAAAGGATTATAGCCTAACAAATATGCATGAATATTAGCACTCTTATAATTTTATCAATATACGTTACATTATATGAAAGCACGTTTACGCGACCGCCATGATTACATTTCAGAAAGTATTGCAGAAAAAAAAAATACAAATAGGTAGTATTTAAATAATATTTTCTTGTACGCAAACGAGCCATCGAGTTTATGATTAATTCTGTGCACTTGCAAGTCGTTGAGCATAAAGCATTTTAAAATTGCGTACACAAGTTTAGCGGCAGCGGCTCGTTAAGTATACAAGTAAAATGAAAAAAAAAAGAACGCCGTAAATCATGCACGTTGGCAACTTACTATATTCCCAAACAATAGCGGATTTAAGGGGGGGCCATGGATAGAAAAGGAAATAACTCCCGAAAATTATTTTTGCATTTTAAACTGTTGGCTCATCCCAAAAATGAAATTATAGATCCACTGTACTCAAGTATTCACTAATCAAAGAGGGTCGCACCAAGTATAGAAAAGAAAAGATAACCCCTTAAAATAAAAGGATCGGCAACACAATGTGCGACAACCTGCTATAATTACAATAATAATTTCCTATAATTATTATAGGAAACATCAAAATGTACAAAATTGAATGAAAAAGCCTAATAATTATGTTAAAAATGCAATAACTTATTTATAAATGCTATTAAGATGTGTTAACGCAATAAATAGATAATTTTTTAACAATTAGTGAGAAATTATATTTTTATGCACTCATTACCTTTTAATATTCCATATAACAAATATGTTTGTCCATAATACAATTTTTATGCTATGAATTAATATATACAATTTACTATGAAATGTTTTATTTTATAGTTAGGATTTACGAAGCATTATATTATTTTGAAAATTAAATCTTTGTTGTAAATAGTTAAGTGAACTATTATAAAATTAAAATTAAAAAGTATAAATAATTGTAAAATATAAAATGGACAAATCTTAATTACATTAATTCATCTCAAATATATATACAATATTGAGTAAAAAAAAAAAATAATAATAATAATAATAATAATAATAATAATAAGAATAGTTAAGAACAAAAGAATTATAAGAATTATCTATCCAAATTATTGATTGGTTTATAATCATAACATAAATTTAAAATTAATCCAATAACTTGTATTTATTTTATTATAATAATTATTTACTACCAAAAATTATGTAGAATTATTCCCAGAGTTGCTAAATTTTTCCAATCTCTTTAATCTGATAACTCGCTGCTGTTCCGTTTCTTCTGGCAATAGTTGATCGTCACTGCCACTACTGCTGCTAAATATTTTTAATTATTCATACTTTTACAATTAAATTAATTTTATTCTTAAACATTAGATTTTTTTTTGGTACATCTACTTCATAATCTTACTTTTTTTTATACTATTAGCATTTTTGTTAGCAAATATTTTAATTAAATGTTAAAATAATTAAAAAATAATACCTTGTTCCTTCATTACTACTGTTAGAAGTATTAAAGTCAATATCAGAAGATATATTATTGGATGGTTCAGTTTCTAACTGCTCATTATTTTCTGTAACCTTTGAAGTTTTCACTATATCAATGAATGTATCACTGTCATCAACTCTATAAAATTTAAAAAAATAACATTAAAACATAAAAATGTCGAACTATTTTATTATTTCAATGACAACTTGAAAACTTAATTTGTATTAGATTATTGCTAATGATAATATTATCACAAAATATCTTTATGAATTTAATAAATGAATATTATTTTTAACATACCCAGATATGATATGTGCAGAATTATAATGATTCATCAACATAGCAGCTGTATCTAACATACATTTAATATCGTTTAGAAATTTTATACGATCAACACATGCTTGTCTAGTATTTTGTTCCAAATGACGTAACTCATCATCAGATAGTGCATCTAAGTTGGGAGGCATATGTGGTGACTGAATCGCAACACCTTTTAACATTGATAATACACTATATTAGATGAAACGTCCTTAATGCTTAAAATATACTTGGCAAATTTTATTATAATAGATATTTACAACAAAATAATAAATCATAAAAATAAAATAGTAAAAGTTGATTTAATGAGTTTTATAATTAAGCTTACCGCCAACAAATGGGAAATTTAGTGGAACTGGTGGCACAGTGTTAAATGGTAAGTTTGAGTTGGACTGTTCAGTATTATCTAATATTGTAAACATACATGTATAAATATATTAATTTAACTCCTTATTTTTAATTTTACTCACTCATAAATGGTGGCAGTCCAAATCCATTTCCATTTTCTAATCTTGTAGCATTCATCAATTGGATCAATGATTCATTTATATTATGTAATGGTAGTCCATTATTTAAATTAGGATCATTATTGTTGATATTATTTTCATTATTGGGTGCTTGTTGTTGAAAATTAAATGGTTTAAATGTAAAGTTCTGTGGTATTTGATTGTTAACTCTACTTCCTGTTTGAGATCCAGATGGACGATTACCAATACTTGATCCTTGCCTATTGCCTAAATCAGCAGTGGAATGCGTATTAGCTGGAACAGTTGTAGATGGTTGGGCTGCTCTATGCATTGGCCTCCTTTCAGTTTCAACAGGCGTTATAGGTGCAGGGCGTAATATATCTAATCTACATGTAGGACATGTCTGATGACGTTGAAACCAACTTCGTAAGCACGATGTGTGAAATATGTGATTACAAGGCAACTTTTTAGCAGCTAAAATTTGTTATAACATAGATAAGAAAACACAATAATAAAATAAGTTTATTCTAGAACACTTAAATAATAAAAAGAATATTTATGTCCCAACTAAAATAATTTTTTTCTACTTCAAATCAAAGAATATCTTTTAATTACCTGCAGCTGTCATATCCTCACGGCATATAATACATACGTTTTCAATGACTTGTAAGTCTTGTATTGTAGCATCTGGATATAAAGTGTTCATATTGTGTATAGCTCTTCGAGAAAGTACAAGGTCTTGGAACACTTTTTTGAAATTTCTAAAACAAAACGTGTTGAAATCATTTTAATAACAATTTCTGAAGAAAAAAAATATTTTTGAGCCCTCATTTAACTAACACTTATTAGTAGAGTTGGGATATTATAGCATTTGCTAGTTAATTATGAAATACTTAAGAAATATCAGAGTAAGCTGTAAATGTGTTTCGTGATAGAGAGAACTCAAAAAAAAATATTTTATATATTTTCGCACATTTACAATTTTTTTTCAGATATTGGTATATTAGACTTTTTGAGATATTTTGAATCAAAATTGGTCTTATTTTATAAAATTATATTTTAGTAAATTTATTTTTAGCTTATTGTCGATCGAATTGTCAAATAAATAAATAAAATATTTTGAAAAATAAATAGTCACTCTCGGTAATTTGAATTTTTATAACTCGAAATGTTCAATACCTTGAATAAATAAAATTATTATTCAAATAACAATAACAACATTTGAATAATTTTATTAACTTGAGAATTGATTGGACAAATTATGGATATATCGATTTCTCTTATCCAAATGTACGTGTTGTTTTTTGCTAATGACTTATTATTATACAAAAATATTTAAAACAAAAATAAAATATACAAATAAAATAATACGTACAGCAAAACATAGTAATAACTATTTAAAACTAGTAAAAATTTAAAATATATTATTAAAATTATGACATGTTTATTCACGAGTCCAATAAAGTATATACTATATTTTCCAAAAAAACAAATGGAATATTAGTAGGGTTGAAGTCAACGTATTATTGATTTCTAAAATATATTGATTTTGTATAAAATGATCTTTATCTAAGTTTTGGTTCGCCATTAGTTTTATTAAAGTGGTAAAATCTTACTGTGGTCTATGTTTTTAAAATTAAATTTACAATTTGTAGAAGATGGAGACTGATTTAAAAATGATCCGATGTGCAAATAAATAATTGATTAAATTTTAAGTGAACTATTGATTTTAAAATTAAATTTTGAATTAGATTTATTCGTTTTAATATTTTTCCTATATAACGTATCGTAATGAAAAGACGAGTGAAATATGAGATGGGTTAAAAATTATGTTATCATAACACTTAACTATAGAATAAATAATTTTTGTACGTGATTTAATCCATGACTGGTGTAATTTTTAGTCTACCTCTCTCACTAGATATTGATATTGATTTTCTCTTCCTATAAGCTCAGTTTATATCTTTATGTCTATAAAATGGACCGTTTGGACGTGGAAGCTCTGATGCAACATAAGCAATACCACGATATTCTTAATTTCTTATTATTTGTTTATAATTTTAAACTTTTGATATTTAATGATTTTGGTATTGTTTTTTTTTTTTTTTGTCGATTTTGACTACGATTATCATTGCCCAAAAAGCGATCTTGAAAGCGTTGTATCAATAGTATACAATTGTCTAGTGTACTCGTATTCGTGCGTTATATTGTATTTTCGCCCTTCTGTTGAGCGTGTTGTAAATGCCAAAATCATATCTTACGTGTAAACTTAAAATCTATGCATCCGAATCCGGCGAAAAAGTGTTTAAAGTGGACGCAAATGTATTCCTTTGTCAATTATGTGAATGTCAACTTAACGGTAAAAAAACTCATAATTTAAAAATAGATAAACATATTCAACCAACAAAACGCCATAAAAATAAAATTGATAAAAAGCAACAATTCCTTATGAGTTATCAAATAAGAACGCCTTTAATATCAATTTTTGTAAAGCATTTAAAGCAGCCAACATTTCTTTAAGTAAATTATCTAATCCAATTTTTTGACAATGTCCTGAAATCCATCTTCAGATCAAAGCATGTTAAGAAAGTTTAATGTGGATAATAAATATGAGATTATAAAAATAATTTGGTCTAAATTATATTTTAAATGAATAAATATCAGCATTAATTGGAACAACCAATGTCTAAAAACAGTATATTGCAAAAGTGATTGTTGGTAGCCTTGAAAATTTACTTCATACTGAAGAACAAAAAATAACAAATTATTCCATCATCAATCAGCTATTTGACACGTGATGTGTATAGTCCATGGTTAAAACAGAAAAGCAGATCAGGTTATATCTAATTTCAAAACAGTGGATACACAGAAGTATAGAAGTTACAGAAGTATTTAAAACCACTAATAGTCGATAATGATTATGTGCGAATAAACTTGCTACCAGCACCAATTATTATGCAATAAGGAACGTGAATAAATCCAATTGCAAATTATTGCGAGAAACATGTTCGTCGTGTTATTGGATTAATTGATCTAGAAGATGCAATTAGTATTTAAAAAGCAAAAAAAATGTTTAGACAAACCCGATTTTAAAAACATATTAAAATTTTTATAATATTTTTCATAGATCTTAAATTAAATAAAAAAAAAAATTGGTCTGTCTAAATTAAAACATACTTATTTGAAAAATCTTGGATGGTGAAGAAAACACAAATATTGGTTAATTACTCGGCAAATTTACATGTACCGATTGTATCAATGGACGTCAAACATTGTACATAAGTTTTTTGGTAAATAAATGCCAAAAATACAAATTCAAAAATCTGACAAAGCATTTAATAATTCAATGTAATATTCGAAGTTAACATTTTAAATCTGTAGCTTTTAATCTTACATTTTTGACAAAAATTAATTGGGTAATTTTTTTTTCAGCTCTTCAGGATTTTGATCAGAGTGACTAAATTATTTTAAAATTCAATTAACTATCTATAATAATTTGTAAGTAATTATTAATAATTAATTAATTACTTTTTAATTTTTTTTTTTGCATGTTGATTTTAATGCATATTTTATGATTTTTAAGGTAATGTTATATATGCATTTATGCCATTTTAAATGCTATAAACTCCCAATCCTTCTTGTTAGTATATATTATGTGTTTGTATATTTAATATTGTGATTATTTTGATTTTATCTTAATAATTTATATTTGATTTACCTTAATGTGTGATACATTGGACGGAACGCAAATAAAGGTACAGTGAATGTTCGAACCATAATTACAAGGAAAAATACATACATCACAGCTTTGCACAGTCCTATTCATGATACATATTAATTAGTTAAATTGGTAATATTGTTTAAGATTTTTAAAATTATGAGTATTAAGAATTGAAACGTTATAATTTTTTTTATTATTCAATCTATTCTAATTTAAATACTAAATAATTATTTGTGCTTGAATAATAATCTAAATTTACATTACCAATAAAAAATTCAAGGTACAGTAGAAGAACAGCTTTGCTTTCCCAAAATGTATCACTATAAACATCTACTGAATGTAGGATATATTTAAAGGCTGCAGTAGCTACTAGTGTGATAAGTAATGCATATTCAAATCCGAAAACTAATTGCACTGATGGACCTTTAGCCACTGTAGTAGTATATGCATCATGTACGAAATATATATCAGCAACGGTTAAAAATATTAATAATGCTATTAAAAAAACAATTTAGATGATTAGAATTGCAAAATTTGTATACTCAACTATGAAAATATCATAGTCAGTTAATGTTTAATATTAAGAACATTTTTGAAAACTTACACCAAATACGTATATGGAATACATATGATATGACTGGAGTTCGTTCCATCTATATATATATATATATAAATGAAAAAAATATATATATCACAATAATCGAAAAAATTAAATACAGTTATAATAATAGATACATACATAATCGACTCGATCTTCTGCCAACCAATGGAAACATTTTAAAAACAGTAATAAGGTAAATAGAGCTACAAATTTAGGACTTAGATCATCTTTAAAAATTGTAAATGCTAAACATGTTTCTGTTACAGCGTACCATGCCTTTTCTATCAGTCGCTTAAATGATAAAATAACAAATATTTAGACAATAAACAAAATAATAAATATAATATTATATGCAATTTAAAAACAAAAATAAAATGAATACCTCCGATTCTGCAGCGCGCAGTTGGCCAAAAAATAATTTTCCTATCAATTTCCCCAAAAAATAGACAGCTACTAAAGCCTGCATATACATTACCTATAGCATACATTTATAGATTAAAATATTTAAAATCTGTTATAATATTTGCATGATTTAAATCATTGTTATTAAAATAATACCAATTTTACTTTACATATTTATAACTATTAAAAATTTTTTTTGCATGTTTTGCGCATAATTATAATTTAAAATTATACATTTTTAATATAAATGTATAATTTAAATTTATTTTTAGGGCGTATGTTCTAATCTTCTAGAGGCTGAAGGTCAATTGATAAACATTTATTTGATGACAAATAAAATATTTTTATTTACACTTTTTAAGATGTAAGTTTTTTTGTAGATTCACTACAATAAATAATATTATTGCTAATAATTAAGAATTTTAATGGTAAAGATTATTAAATAACAATGAGAGCACTAAATAAATAAAATTTTCATAGATCCTTTTTCTATAAAAATATTAACTAAAAATTATTCTATTTAATAAAGAATATTACATTTTAAATAAATATATTGAGGGTTTTCTGTATACATAAAACTATTTCATAGTTTTTAGAAAAGATAATATGAAGTGTTTTTTTTTATTAATTTATGATTGAATGTGTAACCAATCTTTTTTATTATTAAAATATGTTAAGGAATTTATACAAAATATAATTAGCATTCTAATTGTATATTACAATGCATTTTATTCAATTTTATATATTTTATAAATTCATAAGCAAACAAAACAATAATGCTATAGTTTCTTGTATAATACTTATTAACATTCTTTGAGGGATACACTGATGTCTATGCTGTTAAAGAATACTTCAAAATCAATCATTGTTTAGTGTAATACTGTTATATTGAGTAGCAAAAATCAATAGTATTTAATGGTTTATGAAAACAAAATTGTAAATACTACAATTTCAAGCAACAAAAAGACATGGAAAAAAAAACTAGTGTTACTTGTTAGACTTTCTAATTAGAATCATTGATTAGGCGTTGATTTGCAAATAGGTATTATTCTATTTTATATGTAAAAAATAGTACATTTTTTTATTGCACCAGGACATATCAGGTCGACTTACCGCCATGCTAGGATTGGATTTACATATGTAGACGACCGAAGGGTAAAACTGTTTTTTTTGTCGGAAAGCATTGGCCACCACACAGCCGGAAAGCGCCAGGCTTACAGCTATGGCCGTGGTGCCAGTCATTTTGGCCGCGGCCGCCGCCGTGGTTGTGGCCATATTGTTGGAATGGTCGCGGAAAAGCTATTGCGAATTACTGCGATTTGGCGGTGAGAAAAAGGTCGGATTACGGGATATGCAACTGCACCAAAGCTGCACCGAAGTGACGGTAAAACGTTGACGAGCGAATCACGGTCGATTGATCGTCGGCAAAGGTACGGTCATGTACGTCGTCAACAATGTCGTTATTGAGTTTTTCGCGCTACGCAATTGTCGATGATTGAATGAACGCGGACGAAATTTTGTTATGTTGTCCTCGCCTTTGTAAGTTATCGCACAACGTATGGCTAATGCGCACGTCAACCACATCAACGCCGCCCGTGTTATCAGTGTCCAACCATAGATAACGCAAAATAATAAATAATAAATGTCAATCTTGATTTTAATCCTAACCTAACAGTCATTGCCGATTTCGAACAAACTATACATTTCGCAACTAAACAATCCCGACCTACAATACTTCTTGTGGGATGTAGATTTAATTTATCACAAGCTTGGTGGAGGAATATCCAAAGTTGTGTACTACAGAGTGTAAAAATTCAGATACAGAAATAGGAAAATGGTATAGATTTGATTTTTGGTTTGTCACTTTTTCCTCACGAAGAAGTGGAGGGTGTGTTCATATAAGAAATAATGACAATTCAATAAAATCATTCAAATCTAAACGAATTGACTAACTATATCGTTGAAAATCAAATTCTAAATTTTAACTAATTAATTATATTCTAAATAAAACCAAATCGATTGTTCACAATTCACAATGGAAATTATTTATGAATAAATAAAATTATAAAAAAAGTAAATGTTATATTATAAAATCATTTATATTATTTAGTATTGTACAACATTTATTTAGGTATATTTAAGAGTATTTTATTTGACAGTTTTTTTTATTGAAATGTAGGTAGATATTGATTTAATTTTTATTAGTGTGGGAATGTGACATTCAGACCGAAAGGTAGGTACTAAATTATTCAAGGATACCGCCATTAGTCTTAAAAAAACAATTTTCTATAACTTAATTTATGTAATTATAACTCAGTTATTACTTTGAATTTGATATTAATTACAAATATTGTGTAATATTGTACTGAAATGGGGAAAATTAATTTCGAGCGACTTTTTAATGAATAGACACTTATTTTCGGTTTTAAACTTCAGGGAAGAGGGGCGGCAAAATGTTTGTTGTTCCTGGGCGGAGAAATTTTGAATACGGCCATGGAAATAATCGAAACATAGACAATATATATTGCCAAGAGTGTATTGGTACGTATAGGTACGCGGGTATATGGCGTAGGTATATCTATCAACAAATTTTCAATTTTTGGTGCATACCTAATGTAAAATATTATTTTACGGGTATACGCTTCTAAAATAACTCGAAAACAAAAAAAAATATATATAATAATTTAATAGTTAATTGGAAAAAATTGTTATGAACTATGAAATTGAAAGAAATATTTATCTGTTGAAGATTATAGTGTACGCTGTGTTTAATGTATTTTGTTGATTGTAGTGAATAACATTGAATAAAATAGTATAGAGTGTGGGCATTCAGCCCATGGTTCTTAAATCTGCATCATACAGATTCAATGTATAATGATCAAATATATCTTGTGGTGTTATATTTTGTAGTCTTATTATAAGTTAAAAACATGAAGGTACAAAGGATAAATTTAATCTTTTCAAACGATCGAGTGAAAAAAATTGTCGAGCAAAGCGAGAAAATTTATTTTAGGATTAATATCCATATTTTTTTAGTGCGTATACCCACAAATAGTAGCGGTTCGTGAGTTTCACATAAGGTGGTACACAAATAATTTGTAAGATATCTATGCAGATGGGTAAAAAAAAGTATTAATTTTACTATAGGTATGTGTACATATTACGTAATTATCAACATATAGTTTCCCTAATTAAGTTCCCTAAGTTCTTAGTCACGGCAAAATAAAAATAAATTGGAAAAAAATAACTTATTATGTATGAGACATAAACAGAAAATCTTGTTTTCAGGATCAACACGATACGTGGAACGATAAAAAAATTAGTAAAAATGTGAAGAAAAAAATTGATTTATATTATATTATGTATTAATACTCGCAAAAAAATCGGTTAGTGTATTCATTTACTATGTATGTAATTATAACTAATAAGTATTCCTTTGGTATTGTAAAATGTAAAACACGTTTTAATATTTCGATTCTTAATTAAATTGTATTTATTTTAGGAGCACTTGTATAAAAGGTGGGAAGAATTTTTAATCGACGGAGATCGTATGAAGTTTTTAAAAATGTCAGTTATTCAAATCAAACTTTAAAAATTTTAAACACTTTACATTTTCAAATTTTTTTACTTTTTAGTATATCCGTATATGCATTTTTTTCGTTTGAATATATTTTTATACTTTTTACGTATTAGAATACTCGTATATGCATTTTTTTTGTTTGAATATATTTTTATTTTTTTACATTTTAGAATACTCGTATATGCATTTTTTGTTTTGTTTGAATAAATTATAAATTATTAAGTATACCTAACCTAGGTAAGTATAACCTTTTTAGGGTCGAAATCAAAAGTGTGCGGTTTTTGGATACAACAATTTTAAAAACTGTGCGGTTTTGTTCTGTATTTTATCAAAAGTGTGTGGTTTTAAGAGTCAACGTTTATAAATAAATACATATTATGCCGATCTAACTGTTTTGATAATAACAGCTGTAAATAAAATAAATTGATTTCGAAGTAAAATAATTTGAGTCTGAGAAATTGTTATATTTTGAATCTGAATGGTAAGTTTTTGGTTGATTTTAATTATACAAATATATTGTTCACAAGCTAATCAAGATATTATGACATAAGTTGATAATGGGTTCAGTGTAAAATAATTAAGCTTAAAAAATTGCAACATTTAAAATGTTTAAGTAAATTTTTTGTTTTGTTTTCAACAATATGATATGTAATGAAATGAAATAACTATTAGAAAATTTCCCTTCAAAGATTTGTGTACCTATTTTAAGAGTTATACTAAAATATATGGGTTGAGTAGTTTTGGTTTATATCACTGTATTACACATAGCCTCATTTGTGATTTAGTAATTATATTTATGAAAATACTTAAGTACCTGACTCATTTGTTTAAAAAAAAGGTCAAACTTGTTCAATTTAAACTCGCACTGTAAGTTAAAAAAAAAATTTTAAAAATTAATTTTCAAAAATTCAAATAAGAAAAACATATAAGTATAGTACACGAAAATTTAAAATATTCTTATAATTTTTTTTACACAAAATTTAATGATAAAAATAGTTATTCGTAATTTTCTGAAAGTTTCACGTTTTGGACTTGACCCCTTTCATATACAACTAACCGTAAGTGCTATATGAAAAAGTCATTTTAAGCGCGATTGGTCGACTCCCCTCGGGTCAACTATCGATAATCCAATATTCAAGAACGTTCCCTCCCCGGTGGCCCGATCACCCGACCACCACGCAAGCGGTTTAGTGGCCGATGAAAAGGTTGGGACAGTTGAATTACTTGCGTCGAGTTTTCCCCGAGGTGTTTTTTCGATTGGGTGAACATTTTTCCGTTGTGCGTGATGCCAAAGGCTTTTTGCGGATGTAATTACACGTCACATTTTTATCGTGACCTGGCGTGGTGTGCCGCGACCGTTCGACGTCGCGTGTGTCGTCACCCCGTTCGTAGGTGCCACAGTCCGGGTCCGCGAATGCTGTCGCTTTTTGCCGCATTGACCACCGGACCTCTTCATTCCATTTCATTGGTGTCATGTCGCGTGCGTAACATTGCGTGCACATTTCTTGACATCGTCGTTGCCAGTGGTGTATCGAGGGTGGTGCTTAGGGGTGCTAAGGACCCCCAAACTGATTTTAGCACTCCTTTGAAAAATTTTTTTTTGAAAAATCAATTTGTAAAATAATCTATAAAGAAGAAAAAAAATAATAAACATGTATGATAAATAAAAATACATAAGTACGTATATGTTATAAGTTAAACTGTATGATTTTAGTTCGAACACCGAATATGATACACAACTTTTAGTTGCTCGATCCTTAAAATCGAACACGGAACGAAAATCAAACTACTCAGTTTTTATTCCATTTCCATGTCAGGGGCGTATTTGGACTTACTTCTAGGAGGGGGGGACTCAAATTTTTTCTTTAATTCAGGCTCAAAATTTACAAGTAAAATTGTTGGTAATATTTATATCAGGTGAATCCTTAATATTTGTGGTTTTTTTTTTTTTTAATTTAATGCCGGATCCACTTAGAATGGTCTTTTGTGTAGTTCTTTTTTAACACCTATCTGTTTTTTGAAAGTTTTGCTTGTGTTATATCTAATTTTTCACTAAGTATGGACTGGTCTTCAATCAAAATAATATATATTATTTATCGCTATGAGACATATAAATGTTATAAGCAATTGAGCGTTTAACGCTATAAATAATTTAAACGTTAGTCAATTTAAGCGTTTAAACGTTACACAAATTTAAACGTTTGAAAAATTTTCCGTTTAACATTATTGACAATTAAAACGTTAAGAAAAATTTAGCGTTTTGCGTTATTTAAATTAGTGTAAAATTTGAAACGTTTTCAAATGTAGTAATACAATAAAATAAATCATAATTCTTGTTTCTTAATAAAATACCCATTACTTATATAAAAATTCTCGGGAGGGGCGATTGCCCCCATCGCCCCCCCCTCAAATACGCCACTGTTCAATGTACGGTGTTTTCCATCGGTTTTAAAGCATACACACGACGGTTTTAAACATCAGTGTATAGTGTTCGTTGCAGTTCTGTACACTGATCAAAAACCGATAATGTGTGACTACTTTATAAAATAATTTTCTTATTGCAAAAACACCTAACACATTAATATCTATAGGAACGACTATTAATTTTCGTTTTAATAATGTGGCAATAAATTATAAAAACCGATTATGAAGTGCGCATCTAGCTTATCCAAATACGCAAATAAGTCCAACTACGCTTTAGAATAAGCTTCGGTAATAAGAATTGTTGGTAATAATTTTAAAAAATTCATCGGGAAGCGATTGCCTTGGAGCCGTGCCTGATTTTACGTGCGTATATATGAAACAATATGCTGCCGATAGTACATCAATACTTAAAATACACGTCCTTTGCAATACGTTGATGTTTCTGGAATCGAATGCGAAAATTATTTTTGGTTCCTTGCGTACTAATCGTATTATATATTATGGTTAATAATTTACAACTCGTAGACTCTTTAGCAATCACATAGATACAACGTGTAGGCGTTTTGATAATTTCAAGAAGCAGCCGTAAAAACAAACATCTGGCACTAAACAGTTGGGTACACATGTTAAACTTAAAATATTAACGTTAAAAACGATTCAACTAATATTTATTTCGATACGAACGATGGTATCGAGTGCCGGTTGTTGTTGCCATATTGGCAACAATCGCGGTTTTCGAATATTCGAAAGATGGATCAGTGATGTGAACAATATAATTGAAAACTTACGTCGAACGATATTAGAAAAATATCGTGTCATCCTTTAAAATCGGTAGATACAGTTAAGATTATAATATATAACGGTCGGCGTTACGCTTGAAACATTTCGATTGCAATCGTGTCGGAAATAAAAACGTGTATGGGAAAGTGTATTTTATTTGTCGTGTGAGATCGTCATCGGCGAAATGTAAACTGTTCAATTGCGTAAACCGTCTGCCGGTCAGGGCCGGCATTAGAGGGAAACAAAACGGGTCATTCGTCCAGAGCCTTGCGCTTAAAATGTTTATTGAAAAATATTTTCTACGGAAATCACATAAAATAAAACGTGAAATGTGCGAATCGCATGGCGAGTGCGATTTCTAGAGAAATCCTTTTGCGTGTAATAAAAAATCAATCAACAAAACAACAATATTATATTTTATACGTCATGTATGCATCAACGACGACCCGTACGGCACGCTGCACAGTATGGAAACCGGGATACATAGGAAATTAATTTTATTGCATTTTTTAAATTTAATCAGTCATTACCCGATATGGCATATATTAAATGTTATCGCCTTTAATTGCGGCCTACAGCCAATAGGTGACTATTATTGTGGGTAAAACAAGTTTTTCCCAGGGCCTCGCAAAAGGTAATGCCGGCCCTAACCGGCCCTGCTGCCAGTGTCGCGCGCAACATTGCAGATCGAAGGCGTACAAGGCACACGTAAACGGTCGTCGCGAAGAATTCTTCTTGATTTGTTTTACAACACGCGACGTGTCACCATGTTTTCACTTGTAGTTAACTTTTCAACCCTGTACTAGTCAAGGATGGAACTTTGGTGGAGAAAGATGTGGTTTCGTCTTCGGGCGTAAAATCGTAGAGGGTGTAATTTACGTAGTATATAATAATCTACTAATGACTGCTGATTTGATATTTTTTACTTTGTTACTGATAATATGTTTAAAACTCTGTAAGTATGACTGTATGCTAATTATAAGAAAAAAATTGTAGGGAAGTGTATTTTATTCTTGGTCTATGATAGGGCGTAATTTTATCTTTTCCCCGAGCGTACAAATTTCTAGTTCCGCCCCTGGTACTAGTAAACAAGTATGTTTGTTCACGTTTAGTCATTTTCAATTAAATAAATAATTTATAAATTTAGTATAGTGTACAGTTTTGTTTTTATCATAATGGAGACATACATTAACAATAATGATATTTGAACTTTGTTACTATCTAAAGAGGATGAAAAAGATTTTATATTATCCAATGTAAAAGCAGAAAAAAATCCAACACATATATGGTTTAAATATCGGAACACTGGAGGTTTTTACGAAATATTAATTAATATGCTTGTATGATCGTCGTCCATTCGTCTCGATTTTCTACATCCCTTACGCGGGGCATGATTTAGGCTATTTTAAGCCATTATACTGACTAAAATATGTGGCATTTTACAATAATTTTATTTTGCTTACATTTATTTTATGTAACGATGAAAATTATGTTAAAAAAAAAAAAGAAAAAAAAGATAACCCTAGTAGGTATCTATAATTCCGAGAAACTTTTTTTTAGCTTATAATCAAATACAGTTAAACTACTGCGAATCAAGATGACGTTCAGAAAAAATCTCAAATAAAAGAAATACATCGTTTTTTTAACTATTGCCTATTTTTGCATAAAAGTGGATTTTTTTTTTTAAATGTTTTGTTTTTATTCTCACTGTCCGCTTAAATGTATCGCGGATACGTCTTGAATATTTGATTTCTCGCGTATTATTTGTCTTCGACCATACGCGTCCAAGGTTGAACTTTCAACTTGGTATTGGAACGAAAATCGTTTAGGTTAGCGATCACGGGCAGATGGCAGCAGCGGTAGTAGTCGTGGTGAACCGCCGTCGCCTTTCGTTTCGGGATCTTGTTTGCGGTGGCGGCGGTGGCGGTAGTAAACATAGCGTTGAGTTATCAATGTCAAGGACTGATATTATCACGCGCACAAACGCACACACACACGCGCGCGCGCGCGCACGTACGTACCAGCGCTCACACACCCGTGGGCGCAAGCGCACGCACACCAACGCAGCGCAACACAACACCGAACGCGCAACTTATTGATTATTTTCGGCCAGTGTCAACTGTTGTTTTTTTTTTTTTTTTCACGCCACAACCGCCGTCGTTTTTTCGTCCCCCTTTTTTTTTTGCCCTTCCCCCCCGTTCGGTTTCTCCGACCGATACCCGTCTGCCGGACCGTCTTGAAACGGCGATCGCGGCGGCCGTGCGTGACGCCGAACCGCGCGTTTTTCGATTGCGGATGGCTGCCGATGCTGCGGTGGTTATGAGGAACGCGCTGTTGCTCGCGTAGGACGTCGTCGTCGTCGCCACCGCGGTCCCGACGGCGTTCCGTCGACACACCGTCGCGCGAGTCCTGTAACGGCGCCCCGTCGGCCGTATCTCGCCACTACGGACGCTCGCCGCAGCCGCTCATACACCGTATGGCCGTGCGCCGATCTCGTGGACGTCGATAAGCGGGTGAGTGATCAACGATGAATGCACTGCTGCCCGCTCGGCCGTTGATCGTTGTCCATCCCCACTGGCTAGAACTACGCATTAGGAGTTTTCTGGTGCACCTGTACGCTGTGTGCCGTCCAACACTGTCAGATTTTAATCATTCCTCTTGTATGTTTCTTAGGATGGACGCCTCCGGTGAAAAGTTTTGACCGAACCACATTCCGCCCTTGGACTTACTTTGATTAACGCCCGTTGAACGTAAGTAGTTGATTGATACCTATATCTTGTTGATTAGTACTTGGGAAATTTCTCTCCTGCAATGAAAATATAATTTAACCACTTTTCATGTTTATTGTATTGATTTTCAATTGTGTAAGACTATGTTTGATTAGGAACAAATAAATATTTGATAGTGTTTTGTTTAACTGTAATTGGTGTAAATTATATTTTATTGAAATTTTTTTCATAATGATTATAGGTTTAACGTCTAGAAAAATAAAGAATGTTTTTTCTTTTATCACAATAATTTGACAACTTCTAATTTATTCTACCATATACTAATACAAATTGGGAACATTTATCTAATATTTTATTATTGGATCAATATAATTATAAATAAAATGTCTAAATTAGTGATCCAATATGTTTTATTTGATAATATTAAAAAAGTATTAAGTGTGTAAGTAGAAAATAAAAATAATATTAATATTTATGTGCAATATTTAATTTTTACTTATTCTTTCATAGTTTTAATGTGATATCTGTAGTTATCATTCTTGAATAAATAATGAAACATTAAGTTATATTATATGACGTAAAATAGTGAGTCTTAAATTGTTGTTTGAAAATTGAAAATTAAAATTTTATAATATGTAAATTATTTTACCAAATCAAATTAAAAATTTAAGCTAAGTTCTTATAAAAATTAAAATAAGTTAAATTTTTATTGGGTATTATTTGCTACAATTATAAATGAGATAATTTATATAAACAATACTGTGAGTCAAACCTAAAAATATAACGAGTATCATGATAAATGCTAATTTAGTTATTTAGCACACTATGTGTTAGATTGAAGACATGTGGGCATGTAGCCATTATAACAATTTATGGCTTGTTGAAAAGTAATTTAATGATTTCTGACAGTGTCTAAAATGTTTTTTATTTCAAATAGATAAAGGTCATCATTAAATTGTATACCATTTATGTTATTTTGATATAAAATACTAAAAATATTATTTAATATATTATTATTATACTATATAAATAATATTAATTTAATGAGACATTTGAAAATTTCAGTTTAAAATGTATTAACAGGTCATGCATAATTGGTTTTAGGTACTATAAATAAATAAATATTAATAGTTGATTGCTAAAATGCAGTCAATGTAACATTTTTATATTATTGATGTAACACGTAGAAATTAATCAAAAAAATATAGGTACATACTTGATAATTTATGAATGCAATATTTAGATAAACACTTAAAGAAGGCTATTGTAGATAATAAATACAGAGTTATTAAACATAATTAATTATTTTAATAATTTTAATTGCTTTCCATTTGTTTTTTTAATTATGTCTATAAAAATGTATCATAAATAATTTATGATACATTTTTAATTATTTTACCATATAATAATTATATAATATTAATATAATTATAATGTATTATATAATTGTACAGTAATTATTATTTATTTTAGTTAAAGTAATATGTATACTGTATGATAAAAATAACTACATTTAAAATTCACATTTTATTAGAATATATTATTGTTAATGGTTTAATGTTTGGTTTTTTTTTTTTTTTTAGGATATCAAATTGACGATAGTTCAATACAAAGAATATTTATTCACCAATATTTAATCACAACTAATTATGTTGCCCAATACAATTGCTCTGTCATCAACTTTGGTAACTTATATTTTATTTAATAATTATTATTATTATTTATTCTATTTTGCTCTATTTTTCAGCCAAGAGTAAAAAATAAAAATTATAGTCAAAATGTGGAATGTGTTTCATATTCCAAGTCAGTTGATTTTCAAAGAGATCGAAAAAGTTGGCCATTACCTCAGGTAGTTGAGTGTGTTGCCCTTGATACAGTGTCACATATATCACCGTCAGAAAGTGTAAATGAAAGTAATATTGTGGATTCAATTCCATTACACAATGGCTGTGTAACGGTTTTCCAAGCAGAAAATGTACAAACCGATTCAAAAAAAGATTTGTTTTTTGACGATAGCCCCACAAATAATGCAACTAATGTTTTAAAAATTGTCTTGCCTCTAGTCAATGAAAATGTGCCATTGAGCTGTCAGTCACCAACAGTTGTTGAGGATGAACTCTTACCAAAATTATTTTCAGTCAATAATAACGTGCAATATTCTCCAAAACACTGTGAAGATGTGCCAGTTTGTGTTAGTAAATATGTAAATAATAGAAATCATTCTTTACCCGAAGATAATGAGCTAAATCGATTTAGTTCTACATTTGAAAATATAAAATCTTTGCTTAAAGAAGGTCTAGTAGACGGCTTAGATGAAATGCCTCCAGACTTTTTACCACCAAATCCACCTCTGTTGTACAGAGTTTCTTCGTTACCAAATCTAAGTCATGACAGTACAAAAAACTATAATTCATGTTCATACTTAACAATGTGTGCAACCAAACACGAATTATTTATGAATAAGCTTTGCAAAAATATTGCCAAACATGATATGTCTGTGCAAGTATCAACCGAATTATTTAAAACTCAAAATGAAAAAATTTATGTCGACACAAGCTGCCAGACAGAAGACATTTTTTTAAACTGCCAAGTAAACGATGAAGTGTTGACAAAAGATACGGACCATAATTTTTGTCATACTAGTAGTAACATTTTATACGAAGAACATGAAATGAAAATTAATGCAGACAATGAAATTCAATGTGACTTAGGAAATGATAGTATTGGATATACTAATGTTTTTAATAAAGAATTTGAACATAAAACCCATGTTGAGAATGACTGTACTAATACTGGTTATACCAATATTAATATTTTCAACATAGAATGTGAAACCAAAACTAATGAAGAAGAAAATTGTGCCAGTTTTGATTATGTGAATACAAATATACTCCACAATGAACATGAAGTTAATGCGAACGAAGAAGATTGTACCAGTGTTGGCTATATAAATATTAATGCTTTTATTACACAAAAAAAAAAAACCTGATATAGAGGACGGTTTTACTAATGTTAGTTATACTAAAATAACCACGTTTAACAAGGAAAATAAAATAAAATCTGATATTGAAAACTGTACCAATATTGATTACACAAATATGAATGTAATAGACAATGGAAATGAAGTGGGTATTAATGATGATGAGTTGTGTTCAAAAATCAACTGTACCAATATGAACTTGTTTGATAAGGAGCATGAAGTCAAAACTAATGGAGAGGATTGCGTTGACATTGGCTATACAAATTTCAGATTATACGATAAAGGACTTGAAGTTGATTCCAATGATGATTGTGAAAACTATGCAAATGCTAATATTTTAGAGGAATTTGTGAATGAACAGTTAAGTCTTAATAACACAGATGGTGATTTTGATTCATTTTTATTTGGACCTCTACCTCCTTCACCTATTGAAGAAAATGGTAAAATAACTTTTTTTTGTAAACCTCAAATTGAATTAAATTTATTAATTTTTCTTATTGATTATATATAGTTTCAGAACTGCCTATTATAAATAATGTTGAAACAAAGAGAGAAAACTCAGCACCTGTACCTTTCATATTTGATGTTCATAAAAATCAACCAAGTACTTCAATAATTAAATCTCGTTCAATAGATGCTGAATTTTCTCATAATTTTCAACAACATCAAAAAATTGGTACGCGATCGGTGAGTAGTATTGATTTTTAAATATTTAGTATTACTTTTTATAAAATCCAAATTTTAAATGGTGTTTCAAATACTTTTCTTATACTTACCTAATAGTTAACATTTTGTATGTATGGAATGATAGGTGCAGTCAGAAAGAAGAACTTATCCGTCTGAAATTCCTATTTCTGATGGATACCCAAAACCATTAATGCCTAAGTCCAGTATTCATCCCAGTACTATTGAAAAATTATCCGATATATCTAGTTCATTACCAGATACTCCACTTTTAGGAAGATGTGATTTTCCTCGACAATATTCAGCTACTGGTACTAAAACAATGACTCAAATGTCGAGTAAGCATAAATACAATTTTAAACTTTAACATATGTTAAATATAACTCTTTATGGCATATATTTACAGATAGTTTGAGTATTAACATGAGAGGTGCTGGTCATGGTTCTAGTATTGGTTTGGGTCAAGCAATGGCCGGCGCAGAGCTGTTGCATTTAAATGGACCTGGTAGGGGTTGGTACCCCCGTCAAAGGCAGTTTCGTCCTGTTTCAGTTGAGCAGCTTGATAAATTAGCCAGCAAAAGTCCAGTAGGGCACTCACAATGGGATTCTAGAGAAGGGCATAAACCAGTTACATTACCTCCTAACCTTACACCCAAGTTCTTCCACAGGTCTCCTAGAGAAGCACTTCGGCGTGTTACTAGTCTACTTATTAGAAAGGGTTTGTTGAGATTCTTTAATTAAATTTCTATTAAATTAAAGTTTATATAAAATATTTTTAACCAGACAAAATTATATATCTAAATATAATATAAATTGAAACTTTTTATGTATTTTTTGCGTAAATATTTATATATAGAATATTGTCTGCTAATAATCTAATAATATTTTATATGTAACTTATATAATGACATAATATATATTATATGTATAATCTAATATTAATAATGTATATTTAATGTTATATACATTATTTTATAGAGAAATATTTCTTATTTCTTTACTTTATGTAAACTTTCATAATAACTAATTTTTATTATTAAAGTGTTATTTTATATAAAAGATATTAAATTAAAAATAAATAATGTAATTAAATTTAAAAGGTCGTTAAACATATATACTCTGAATACAATGATTGTCTCACATATTTTAAAAAATGTTGGTTTACTTTATTTTAACAGTTGATAACAATTGAAAAATGAATAAAAATATTTTATTTGTTAAGTAGTTAATAAACGTTTTATTGTGCTTCAGGTAATACAAATAAAAATAACAAATCCAAAACTGTATTCTCGTCTTCAGTGATTGGCCCACATGGTAAATAGAAATATTTATTTTATTCCTAATAGTTACTCAAATAACTAATTAAGTTCTAGAAAAATGAAAAACTCAATAATGCCAAGTAATAGTATTGTTATTAAACTCTTTGATAATTATAAAAAAGTGTGCTTTGCGCAGTGTTCATTTTTATTTTTGTGTACTTAATTTGAATGTATTTTTTAGGAGATATTAGTGAAGAATGTGTGACCAGTCAAGCAAAACGTGGATTTTTCAAAAGCTTATGGAGAAAATAAGACTTATTATAATGTGCAATCAAATTATACGGCCAACTGTCTTAATTAATTAATTTTTATTTATTAAAACTCTGTCTTCAAATCTATGTTTAACCTTACTTATACTTTACTAACTTTTAATAATTTAATTAATTTATTATTATTATTATTTTATTTTTTTTTTATTGAATTTTATGAATTATAAACTTAGTGATAGAATGTTTGAAGTTATATTTATGTATATTATTTTTTCTTTAACATGAGTATTATTGTTTTTTTCTTTTTTTATCTATGTAGATTTTTCAGATTGCAATAAATGATTTTTACAAATATAGTTTCGTGGTTTTTTATCTATTGATCATTATTCTAATTTTTATTTCAAAACATTCTATTGTATGATAAAAGTGATTTTAAAATGCATTATACACTGCATGTCAGTTATAATAAAATTTGAAGTATCGAAGAGTTTTTTTTTTTTTGAACAATTTTCTTTTTAACCAACTTTCTTTTGGAGATCTTACTAAATTATATTTAACTCTACATGGTTGCATACTCTATTTTAAATAATGATCACTCAATATATTATATTCAATATTGTATGAAAAAAAATTATAGTTATTTTATTGTATAAATAATGTTTTAATATAAAAAAAGCTTAGTTTATGTACATAATATAATAACATTTCTTTGTTAATTATTTATTTTCTTAATGTGATTTCTTTGGTTGAATGCCAATTCGTCGATTTTAATTATGTAATTGCGGCACTGCATTCATCAATTGGTCGGTTTCTTAAATCAGATTTTATAAAATTAATTTCTGAAAATAATGATTCGCACGAAAAAGTCGAATAAAAATAAAAGGCGAAACAGCTCACGCTACTATTTTTGAAACGAAACAATCTTGTTCCCTATATGTTTACGGTAAATTTGCCTATTGTCCCATCATCTCGCTGAATTATTATTTAAGCAAATATAACATTACGATATTTGTTGTTAAGAATAAAAATCGTGTGTACGGCCCGACGTGATCAAAATTAAGTAACGTCCGCTGCCAAAATTTATACACAAGTTTAATAAAAATTTTTTTTATATTTTCCATCCCTGACCGAGAAATATATAAAAGGTTTACAGGTGTACTGCGCACCACAAACGTTGTATTATTGTTAATGTTATTATTACGTGGTGCGCCGTGCAGAAGCGTTCGCGGAAAACATTTCGAACGATTCCGTTGCGCCGTGTACGAATCGCGGTCGACATAATCACCGTGATTATCTTTACGGAACGAACCGTCCCGTCGCGATATAAAATATAATAAAAAAACACCAAAAAATCAGTTTTCGAACTTTTATGTTAGTCACGAGTACTTACTTTTAAGTATACGCTATAACTTCGATGAGATATGTGTGTAAGTAACAAAAATATTTAATAAAAAGCTATACAGTGCACTTTATACAGTATACAGGACGGTTGTAATTCTGTAATAGTGTTCTCTTTAATGTGTAGATAATTATTTAATTAAAAATATACGTTAAAATAGGAGTCTCAAATTTTGAGTTTTGGCCGCGTAAAATGACGTTTCGGACCACTGTGCGGCGGTGGTTTATTCGTTTATAATCGTTTACGTTTCCGACGCGATCTCTGGACGACAACAACACCGCGCGACACTTACGACCGTGCCCGTCGTTCATTGGCGTACTGGGGTGTCCGGTGTGCCCCGGAACCTCTCCCCCCCACCCGAAATGTTTTTTTTACATTTCTACGATTCAAGTCTCTAAGATTTCAGTCTAAGAGTAGGGGTCCGTGTTTTAACTGATGTTGCTAGAATTAAATGTAATTTACTCTAAAACGTCTGATGGAAAACAAATCATGTTTCGTTATAGAAAAACCAAAACTAAATTCTCTAAATTTTCATGTGAAAAATTATTTTTATAACGTAACAGCTACAGTTGACGGCAAGAGTGCAAATCATAAATGATTGAAGCTATCTGAGAAGAATATTCAAGGAAAACATATTGATTGGGACTGACGTGTAGCAACAATATTAAACAACAAAATAAAATTATGTTTATTTAACCATTTATTAAATGCACTTTCACGTTTCGTTCAGTCAGGGCCGAACGTATTGCAGGCACCCCCTGAAATGCAGGTCTGCGCACGCCGTCGTTGTACTATTATTTCGGCCGACCCGGCGCGCGGACGTCATAACGTTCCGGCAACAGCGATCGCGCTCGGATTGGGTAATCAGATCCGGCGTTATGGGGGAGGGGGAAGGCTGAACGGTGCATTTTTCCAGGGCCTCGCCCTTGATACGTTCATTGAAAAATATTTTGTACGGAAATCTCATAAAATAAAACGTGAAACGTGCGGATCGCCTGGCGAGTGCGATTTCTCGAGAAATCCGTTGACGTGTAACTAAAACAAATTAACGAAACAACAATATTACACTTAATATGTCGTGTGCGCACCAACGACCGATGGCACGCTGCACGGTATGAAAACCTAGGATGCCTAGAAAGTTTATCCAATCGCATTTCTTGAATCCAATTAGTTATCACCCGTCGGTAATGTCGGCGTCCGATCACATACTATCGACTTTAATCACTGCCTACAGGCTGTAAGTGACTTTGGTCGACGGCAAAACAAGTTTGGCGCAGGGCCTCGCAAGAGATAGTGCCCTGCCCTGGGTGTAACGTTTGGGGGCTGCGAGTCAAAGATGAAACGGTCCGCGTTCGGCACGTGCTAATCGGGTGTCGCGCGCTGACACCGCTGTTGCCGTATAACGGATTCGCACGATTTTCCACTCGAGACCGACGTTTCCCTGACGCTTTACGTGTGCCTGCACAAAGCTATTACACCTCGGCGGCGTCCAGTGGCGTAACAAGGGTATGGCGAACTGCGTGTCTACGCCAGGGGCGCGAATTGCAAAGGGGCGCAAAAATGTGCAAAATTCGTATTTTTATTCTACAATTAAATTGACATTTTTCCATTACACTTTTTGAAATACATAGATGTTGTCTATTCGTACACGTTACGTGTGAATCTAACGATGAAGTTATGAAAATAGAGCATTTAATATGAAAAAATTATCGATGAATTCGCCAGTCGTAAAGCGAGAAAAGCAAATTTTCAAAGTTTAAAATTAACACTGTATTAATAACTTATAAGTATAAATTGTGTACTTAAAAATATTAGTAAAATTAAATGTTGAAAAAGATATCATGACATGAAATTTTAATTGGTTAGAAAGGTAACTTTTTCTAAGTTTGCCAGGGGCGCAAGCGAGTCTTCCTAGTCACTGGCGGCGTCCGTGGAGACGGAAAGATGGAGTAAAACGTTCGTAACGTCGTTAGTGATGTTCGAGACTGCGGAAAGTGAAAAATGGATTTGAACGTTCGTAGCAAGTTCGTAACACCCGCCGCACAGTGATCGTCCAAACAGCACACGCAACGCTAATGCGTACAGTATTTTATTTTTTATTGGCTTACAGGCTGTGAAAACCTTTTGCCGCTTTTACCACGTCCCCCTCCCCACGGTTCCCGATCGTCCGCACCCACAATTCTTGTCGTTCCCAAACTTTCCAAATGTTTGTTTTTCTCCATCGCTGACGGGGCCTTCCTCTTCCGTTGGGCTTATCGATCAGTACTTTATGACTTAGCTAGTCCTTGATCCTTCATGCATGGTCAATCCCAGTGCCGCAATAACCGGGTGTGTTGCGTGTGTCAAACACACTGGACCATGGGTCATGACCCTAGCTTAAAATAGTTTCCAATGCTAATATTTTAAAAATATGTAGAAAGCAAGAAAATAAAACAATTTTGTAATACTAACCTAACCTTGTGGAGATTGAAGAATAATTGATTGATTTTTTTTTGTACACATTATCGTACATCAACATTTCTTTTACAGCCTATATAATCGAAATTCAAAATAGTTTGGTTACAAATACAGTACGGTTTCCCTGTAGAGTCCGGATGCGGGGAAGGACATTCATTTTCTTACATACGGGCAGTGGCGTAGAAAGACTCGCTAGCGCCTTTGGCAAACTTAGAAAAAAAACGCTTTTTAACCAATTAAAATTCAATGTTACGATATTTTTTTTTTTAAGGATACAATTTTTATTTATAAGTAATTATTACAGTGTTTAAACTTTGAAAATTTGCTTTTCTCGCTTTATGACTAGTAAATTCATCGATAATTTCTTCATATGAAGTTTTTTATTTAAATTCGCTTGTTATGTATGTATTGTATGTATTAATATTTTCATAATTTCATCATTAAATTCAAATGTAGTCTGTACAAATAGGCAACATCTACGTATTTCAAAAAGTATAATAGAAAAATTTCGATTTAATTGTAGGATAAAAATACGACTTATGCACAATTTTATGCCCATTTGCAATTCGCACCCCTGACTTAGGCACAGTTCGCCATATTCTTGCTACACCACTGCACACGGGCCCAAGTTAGTGTAATTGCGACACTGGTAAACTCATTCTAGCCCATTAGCTTTCGGACATGTTTGTGTGTTTGGTTTATTGAAAATGCTTTCGATGTCCTCATTTTTTCTTCTTTCATAACTTCCCGAGTCCGGGTTTAGTATGGGACTGTATATCTTTCTTAATATTTTCTTCTCGAATATTAGAAGTTTTTGTTCGTCACCTTTTTTCGTCGACCAGGTCTTATAAACGTAAATCGCAATAGGGCGTAAGTTGATTTGATTTGATTTTTTTGATTATACGGCGTAGGTATCTTATGGCGTTATGGCTGGAGCGTTATGGCGTCATCGTCCCGTCTATCTGTGACGGACAACGCAAGTTGATATTCCCAGTGTTTAACGTAACATTTTAAACTGAATTTAAATATTGCAGAGTAGAGCGATTTCCGGAACAACGTAAGATCCTTTTTACGTATAACGTTAAAATAACTTATACGGTAAACATAATTTTACAAAAAATGTACAGCGTTTTTTTTTATCTCGGCTGAAGCGTATGAACCTTCGTCCTAACCGTACGCATTCCATCCCAAATTTATTGCAGTTGCAGGCGACCGACTTAAAACCTTGAAACCTGGCCGACACTGCCAGATCAAAGAAAATTTACCGATCTTATAATATAATAAACGAATTCTTATGCATAATTCGTATATTAGCAATTTCTCAATTTTGCATTTAGATGATTTTGTACAAGCAATTTAACGTTTTATTATAACAGTTAAGTGTTTTCAATTTATTTAAAAATGTAATGAAAAAATAATGAAATGTACATTATTTATCGAATTAAGTAATATCGGTATGACCGTATACCTATAAAAATAAAAATAAATTTATAAAATAAAAATATTATGCTAAAATCGTT